CTGCTGAGGGGAGCAGTGGGCGAGTCAGGGAGGTCTGCCACGCCATGTGGATCTCCTCCGGGGCAGGCGGGGATCGAACTCATGCGGAAGTGGCTTTGGCTTCTTAATGCTGTGCCTTAACCCGCTGCGCCACCAGGGAGGGCCCTTGCCTCTGTAGTTTCTAATAAGAAATTGCTTTTTAATGTTGCTGCTGAGTTTTTGAGCAAATAATTTGCTTCTGAAAGGTTCGGCGTAGTAGGGAGGATGCAAAGAGATAGCAAGGCCAGTAAAACCAAAAGTAGGTTTATATCTGCACTCCCAGGTGAGGTTCACAGACCCCAGACAGAGTTGAGGTCAGTGCATTGAAGGAGGGTAGGAGGGATTTTTATAGGCCTAGGTAGTGGGGAGAAATAGCTGGGTGGAAAATTTTGGGAAGGAAATGGAACTTATTTTTCTGCACAGGCTTGCATTAACTGTGGTGCTAAGTAAGTCCTGTGGTTATCACTCCGGAACATCTGCTTCTGTTTGGGGCAGCAGTGCCTTCTGTGTGCCTGTTTCGTGGGTGCCTGATGCTTACAGCTTCTCTCTTGCTGTTTTCGTGGTTCTCTCTTTGACTTGGCTTTTAACAATCTGATTCTTTTGAGAGTATCCTCCTTGGAGTTTGTTCAGCTTTTTGATTGTGCAGATTCCTGTATTTCTTAAAATTTGGGGAATCATTGACCATTACTGCTTTCAATTCTCTTTCTATCCTTTCCTCTCTGTCTTCTTATGGAACTCCATTATGTAAATGTTTATATACTTGATAGAGCCATACAAGTATCTTAATTTCCTTCATTTTCCTTTCTGCAAATCAGATTGGATAATTTAATTTGACCTGTCTTCACGTTCACTGTGTTTCTTTCCTGTTTCTGCTCGTCTTCTATTAAACCCCTATAGTGATTTTGTAACTTGTTATTGTACTTTTCCACTCTAGACTTTTTATTTGGTTCCTTTTTCTAGTTTCTGTCCTATTGCTGACATCCTCAGTCACTGAGATATCACTCCTTCATTTCCGTTAGCTTTCTGAGCACATTGAAGACAGCTGAGTTACAATTTCTGTTCAATGACTCCAATGTCTGTGCTTCCTCAGATACATTTCCCGTTACTTTACTTTTTTGTGTGAGTCAGATCTTTTTGTTTATTTACATGCTTCATAATATGTTATTAGAAACTGGACAGTTTTGAGCATTTTTTTAAAGATTTATTTATTCATACAGAACTGGCGTACAGGCCAGAGATACGGAGGGTGAGAGGATTCACCAGAGGCAGAGCGGGGAGAATAACAGGCAGATCGACAAAGTACGAAGTACGCTGCTGAGGGGAGCAGCGGGCGGGTCAGGAGAGGTCTGCCACGCCATGTGGATCTCCTCCCGGGCAGGTGGGGATCGAACTCATGCGGAAGTGGCTTAAACTTCTTTGTGCTGTGCTTTAACCCGCTGCGCCACCAGGGAGGGACTTGAGCATTTTTTTTTTTTTCATAAAAACTGCTCTTTGTGGTATAGGTCTCCTAAGTATCCATTTTTTTGTTTGGTGTTTGACATTTTGGATGTTTGGAACCCTGAAAACTGGATTCCCCCTCCCCTCCAGGGTTTGCTACTGTTGGATGTTGTGAGCTCCATTCATATATTTGCTTAGTGACTTTTCCAAACAGTGTTTGCAAAGACAGTATTAACTGTGATCACTGAGGTCTCCATTCTATAATCTCAGCAATTAACTAGTGGGCTGACAGAATTTCTTACATTATTGGTCAGAAAATGGTCAGAAAAGCAAAACTAAGTTAAGGATAAAGGAAGAAAAGCAGGAAAGGAAGGACGGGAGGATAGAAAAGGGGAAATGAGGAGTTGGTGTTATCCCACTCCTTCTGTGGTCGCCCTGGCTATTTACAACTCTGCTTAACCTCACTCCCTGCTCATACGGAGTCTACAGGTCAACCAGAGGTAAAAGCTTGTGGTTTCCTCAGGTCTTTTTTGCATGCACCACACCCTGAGCATGTATGTACCCAGCTTTCTAGGTTCCCCACACAGAGGGATTTTTCAAAGTCCTATTCTCCCCAAATCTCACTACTTAATATTGTCTCTTTCTATATGTCTGTTGTGTGTCACAAATGTCATTTTTCCTTCTTCCAATGCTTTGGGGGGCCATCCTCTGCATCACTGCTCTGCTCTATGAGAGTTCCAAGGTAAATATATGGAAGGAAAATCCCTTGTGTCAGTTTTGGGGGGAAGCTCCCCACAATCAAAACACAACTCTTTGGGAACAAGACCTATTCTGCTTCTCCCAAAACCAGCTTTGCCCCTCCAGAAATCTGGGCTGCTGTCTTTAAGACCACTCTTTGCTGGAGGGCCTCCCTGGTGGCCTAGGGACAATCATGGTAGGAGGTGACCCATATGTCACAGCAGACCTCTCCTGTCTCTCCCACTGCTCCCCTCAGCAGTGGATTTCTTTCTTTCTTTTTTTTCTTTTAAAGATTTATTTTATTTATTTATGCATACAAGCCAGAGGTGCAGGGGCAGTGAGAGGATTCACCAGCGACAGAGTGGGGAGCAGAACTAGCAGATTAACGAAGTACACTGCTTAGGGGCACAGTAGACAAGACAGGAGAGGTCTCTGTGCCACCTCCCTGGCTGGGGATTGAACTTGTGCTGCAGTAGCTGTGGTAGCTTCACAGTGCTGCACTTTAACCCATTGCACCACCAGGGAGGGCCTCGTTTTTTTTTTTTTTTTAAGATTTATTTATTTATACAGAACTGGGGTACAGGCCAGAGATGTGGAGGGTGAGAGGATTCACCAGAGAGAGAGTGGGGTACAGAACAGACAGATCGACAAGTACACTGCTGAGGGGAGCAGTGGGCGGGTCAGGAGAGGTCTGCCTCGCCATGTGGATCTCCATTGGGGTAGGCGGGAATCGAACTCATGGGGAAGTGGCTTAAGCTTCTTTGTGCTGTGCTTTAACCAGCTGCGCCACCAGGGAGGGGGAGGGCCTCGTTTTGCTATTTTTACATTGGGTTTCTTTTTCTTTCTTTCTTTACTATTGACATAGGAAAGCTCTTTATATATTCTGCATACAAGTGTCTTGTCAGATATATCAAGTCTTGACTATGAGTATATACTATTTGTGTAATTTCTAAAATAATAAAATAAAGATCAATGCAGGGTTGCTAATCTGTCTAAAGGTGCAAGAGTTCCTGGGAAGAGTCAACTTTTCCATCAGAAAGCAACTGAGGCCTTCTCTTTGCCCACCCACGAGGTAACATTTCCTTTCTTCCTCCCTCCTCTGGCAGAGACTGCCCCCTGCTGCAGGTGTTGTCGGGTGAGGTTGCTGGCGAGGAGGTAGAGGGCTCTCTGCCCTGGATTGTCTCACAGCTCCTAGAAGGAAACAGCTACAGTGGCCTGCTTCTTCGCCTGGACCTTCAAGGTGGCCGTGGGGAGAGGGTGTGGGATTCATTGGGAAGTCCTGGGATCTGGCTTTAGTCTTGTACTATCTCACTTGATCAGCAAGATCAGATGGGCGGGCCAGGATTCAGCAGTGTCCCTGGGTGCTAAGGCTGTGATGTGTGGAGCGGAAGACCAGTGGTTAAAGTAACCCCACAACTTCCAGATATTTCCCTCTTACCAATGGTTTCTGCATTGACTATTACTCCTGATTTTTCCCACCATCTGATAGGGCAGATCTTATTTATAGGTGAGGAAAGAGACACAGGCCTAATTTATAGAAAAGGGAGGGTCAGAGAAGGGAAGGTACTTGCCTATTTTTACATCCCATTAGAAGGTGTCTGTGAAATGATATGATGTTAGGGATTAGGGGAGATTAAATAGTGGGCATAGATAAACAAGATTGGCCATGCCTTGATAATTGCTGATGCTGGGTGATAAGTAGGTGGATTTTCTATACTTTGTGATGTATTTGAATATTTCCATAATGAAAGAACAATTAAAAAATGAAAAGAGAGGCTGGCCTCTCTCTCCAAAATCAACAAAAACACTTTTATTGCTCAACAGGTTCTCAGACTTTCCCTGTGCCAGGCCCTGTGGAATGAGGAAGATAAATTGGGGCAGCCACACTCTCAAGTATAAAGCAGTGGGGGAAGGTCATATGTTTCATGGCCAGTTTGGCATCACACTTATGGGCACTGGCTTTAGTATCAGGAAGAACTGGGGTTCAGTTGCAGATCTACTACTTACCAGGAAGTTGCTTGACCTCTCTGGGTCTCGGTCATATCACCTGGAAAATGGAGGATGGACAGAATAAATTAGAGTGGCCACCTCATTGGAATGTAGTGTGGATAAAAAGACAATTTAGGAAAAGCCTTATCTTGGTGCCATCAGGAATATATATAAAAGCCTGCTAGCTGGGAGCTGTTCTTATGAATTGAATCATTAATAACAATTAAAACATTACAGGCGGTGTGCTTTGGAGTCCAGAGGCAGGGGTGATTCACTGTCTCTCCCCTTACTAGGCAGCTCCCTGAGCTTGCTCCAGGCTGCTCTGTGTGGGGCAGCACAGAGGAGGATGCAGGTGAAACAGGTGAGGCCTACCCTGTGGAATGCAGTAGAAGAGGCCCGGGGCCGGCGCAATGGCCTGAAGAGCCTTCGTGCAGGCCTCCTGGGGGACAGCCTGACAGATGATGGACTCAGGAAGCTGGGCAGGGCACTTCGAGAACTAAAGGTAAGCAAGCCGCTGCCTGGAGGGGCTGGGCAGCAATTACCAGCACCTACCCTGAATCTTTTTGTAGGTGGTAAAAGCCTGGAGCCGGCGCCTAGGAAGCTGGACACTCAAAGAGGTCAAAGCTGAGGCTGTGGGTATCCCAGAGCCACAGGTATGTCTTCCCTTCTCACTGCTCCTGTTTTAGGGCACTATGAGGGGCCCTTTGTCCTTGCATTAATTTATGGATTCACAAATATTTAGTGCCCACTTACTACGTGCTGGGCAGATGGGCAGAGTACCACGTAGGCTCTGGGAACTCTTTTCCCTCACTGGGTTTACAATTTGCTACATGGTCAGTGCCCTGAAGGGCCTATCAACACATGGTTCTACAGGATGGCTAAAAGAGGGACGGCTACAGTCTTGGCAAGAGAGGGACAGAAGATTCCAGGGAAGAAGTTGATCCTTGAAGGAAGTGACCAGAGAGGAGTGAATGTCGATGTAGAGAAAGTGACAGGCAAAGTCTCAGAGTAGTTGGCCTCTTTGGGGGCTGTAAGCTGCTCAGTTTGTTGGAGAATATTTGTGGCGAAGGACTGGAAAAAGGAAAGTAGAGGCCACGTCACACAGGACTTGTTAAACCTATTGAGATGTTTGGACTTTGTTTTGAAAGGGAAGCCGCATTTTAAGCAGGGAAAAAAAAAAACTATTGCTTCCATTTTTTAGGTGAGCAAACTGAGACTCAGAGAAGCACATGCATAGCTCAGGGTTGCTGGGTCTCAGAAGGCAGCAGAGGTCAAGCACCCAAGTTCTCAGACTCTACCATGCTTTCCTCACAGCTGCATGGCCTCTCTGGGCAGGAGAGGGCGCTGTCTGCCGTGATTTGCCACAGAGTGGCTGGTCCTTCTCTCCGCTGGTTTTTCCCTTCTCATAATTAGTTAAACTTGGGTTTTCAGGTCCTGGGCTTTAAGAATTACGCACGCATTAAAAAAAACAAAAAAAGAATTAGGCATGTAAGCTCTCATTTACTGCTCAGTGCCTGCTTGCTTAGTGCTTTGGGTATTTACCTCTTTTCATGCTCTCTACACTTTGTTTTAATCAAATGTTACTGATTTACCACTCATTTACAAAACCATGATTTGGGGCTCACCCAAATCTTCACACCTCAACATGTACCTATGCTTTACTCACCCACCACTGACACTGCAGTGCCAATACACCGCCACCTTACCCCCTCTCCTATCCTCCCTCCCCTGACCTGTCTGATTTCAAAGCCCTGGTTTTAACCTGTGTGGTCCTGGGAGGGTGTGCACTACTCACTCCTAATATCTTCTCAGCAGGTGATTGATAGGGCAGCAAGTCACAGCCCAGGCCTCCAAGGGGAACCCCAAGGTGGGTCAGGAGTTTGTGGTGAAGCAGGGGGTCTTCTCTACCTTTGATATGCTTAGTTGCATTTTTGTTTGGTGGCAGGGAGAACAGCATCTCTAGGGCCTGAGCACTACCAAAAGCAACCTCTCAGGGACTCTGGAGAACAGGTAGTAACTTGTGAATCCCAGAACAACTGGGTGCTATTGGGGAAGTGAACACAGGATTTGAGACCCCAGCTAATATGTCCTGCTTACCATGCCCCAAACCAGGGAGATGTGTGGAGTTTGGGGGAAAGGACTAAAAGGGCTGCCAGATCACTAGGGGTGATGGGAAGCAGCTATTTTCCTAATGGTTTGAATTGATATGTGACCCTCAGGGACCTCTACCGCTGAGCCAATACTTCTTCCACCAAGAAGTTTCTTGGTCTATGTTTCTGTCCTGGCTCCAAACTCTCCCGGCTGATGTAGAGCCTGATGTAGTTCTAGTAATGGGTTTCTGTGGGAAAGCTGGGCCTTATGTCCCAAAGCCGAGCACGCACATGAACCTACACTGACACCATCTATGCTGGGCAGGCTGCAGATGTCGCCCTGCAGTTCTTTCTGGGCCAGGCCCGGAGGCAGAGACTGCGAGAACAGCACCATATTTGGATCCAAGAGCAACTGCAACACTTGGAAGAGGAAGAGGTGGCAGATGACCAGGGCAAAGGTCTGCTGGCTGGAGAGGAGGTGAGGAGGGTCAAGTAGGGAGCTGAGGTCTCTACTCGGGCCAGGCACTGTGCTGGGTTCAGCATCAACTGCAACACACTGCATCGCATCCTTTCATGGCCCTCTGGGCCTTGTGGGGGATAGACAAGGCAATACTCAGTGTTAACTGCGGTGATGGTGAATCTAGGCCTGGGGGGACAAAAGGTGTAACTGACCCAGGCTGAAGTAGACCTGAAAAGATGACACCTAAGTTTTTTTTTATAGTTATTTTTGTTTTTGCATAGAACTGGGGTGTCGGCCAGGGGTGCAGGGGATAAGATTCACCAGAGACAGAGTGGGGAGCAGAACAGGTAGATCGACTGAAATACACTGTTGAGGGGAGCAGTGAGTGAGACAGGAGAGATCTGTTGTGCCATGTGGGTCACATCCCTGGCCAAGGATAAAACTTAGGCCTTAGTGATAGTGCTGAGACTTAATCCCTAGGCCACCAGGGAGGCCCTCTAAGCTGTCTTAAAGACCAAACTAATCAGCCGGAGGAATTCACTAGCTCCTGAACTTCACAAGGGCAGTTTGTGCTTATCACAGAGGCATTCAGAAAACATTACTTGTGTGAACCAATTAAGAAACAGGATGTGTGCATGGGTGGTGGGGACACGTTTTGAGAGGACAATACCGCAGGAGCAAAGGTTAAAAGGGAAGCAATGGCAGCATGGAGTCTGGCTGTCGTGAATATCTACTTGGCTGCTTCCTGGTAGCAGAAAGACTGCAGTGGGCCACATCTCTGGACTTGGACTGTGGTGACTCTTGAAAGGGCACGGGTCAGCTCAGTGGCTCGTTAGTCATGTGAATAAAGCAAGTCAGGTCACTTCTCGATCCACTGTTTCCACATCTGTAAAACTGCAACTATTCATATGGTCGTCTTACTGGGTAGAATGAGATAATGCACATGAAGTTATTTAGAACACAGCCTGCATGTGGGTGGCACTCAACAGTGTGTATTATCATTGAAGGCCTCAGAGGAGAGGCAGAGCCGGCACTGGGAGCAGACAGTGCACAGACTCCAGCTGGAGGCCCTTCAGGTGGAGCGGGATGCTGCGGAGCAGGACCTGGTGGCCCTGTATGAGCTGCACGTGCAGGCTGCCCGAGCACAGTCACACCACGTGCTGCAGGTCAGTGAGAACCGGGGGCTGGCCCTGAGCTAGCTCAGAGGCTGACTGGCTGACAGGTATTTCTGGCCCTGGGCATAGGTGTTCCGGGCCTGGCGACGGCTTTGGGAGGAGCAGGCCATGACCAGAGAGCATCACCACCGTGGCCTGCTGGCTGGCGTTCTGCAAGAGACCATCAACCTAGCCACGCAGAACCAGGAGCTCCAAGCCCAGAACCAGCAGCTTGGAAGGCTGCAGACTAGGCTGGGGGCAGAGATGCCAGATCCCCGTTCAGGGGGTCAGGAATCTTTCAGGGACAGTGTTTTCTCATCTCATCCTTAAGGATCCTAGAAGGAAGAACAAGCTGAAGCACAATGGCCAAGCTCTAGCTCACTATGGATAATTGTTACCACCACTAACCAGAGCTCCTTGTGCCAGTCCTTGTTGGAGGCTTAATATCCATTATTTCACGTAGTCCCTAGCCGTTTGTACTAACCTGTACGTGTTCCTACACCAGTAAATGTTTAGGTAAGCAATGGACTGAATCTGATACTGATCTCCTGATTCCAACTGCTCACTGACATTATAGCTTTCACTGTTGTGTTTTATGTTGGCAGCAGCCCCATCTACCTGTGACCTTCGTGTAAAGACACAATTTCCTAAAGAAGCGTTCCTCAGAATGCCCCCCCTGCTAAGTGACCAGGACGGTAGTTGGTTCTCTTTGGCCACATTTCAGACATCAGCCAATGAAAGGAAGGAAAGGTTCAGCATTGCCCAAGGACAGTCAGCAGGTGACAGTGCCTTCTGTATTGTGGCTGACAAGTTTGCAGCATATGTCAGAAACAGCTAGGAAAAAGAGGGAAACCCCTTTAAATCCTGCTACCTAAAATTTGGCTTCAAGAGGATAGGGTTTTTTTTTTAAAACAAGTTTGCCAGGTATACCACAAGTGGATGTTCCCACAGTCCTGACAGCAGATGACAGATGAGAATGTTAGTGAGGGAACCAGAGGAAATGAGGCTCAAACCACATTGAGTCATCAAGAGTTTTCTGGCTCTAGTTTGTCCTGCCAGCCTGAGCACATTCTATTCTCAACACTCCCTCCAAGTCCCCTGGGGCATAAGTTTTGTGCTTCAGAGAAATTTCAAAAGCTTCATAATTGTCTTGGTTCCACAGAACCCTCACAGGAAATAATGGTGCTAGCACAGCTAGTCTTTTTTCTCCTAGTTTATAAGTCACTGCTGGAATAAGATACTCAAAGCATCAGAGGACAGAAATTATGCTTGAGAGGAGCTTGGGACACAGAAGACACAGGACAACAATGGCCAATTGTAGGAACGACCTACACCCCAGAACACTTTATTAAGACCTTATTGCTTATGCAGTTAGATACACTGATTGAGTTACACGCATTTCCCTTGTCTGGTCCCAGGTTACTCTGCAGAGCTTCAATAGGCTGTTGGGAGATAGGATATACTGCCAGGTGGGTCAGGACCCAGAATGGGGAGGATGGCACCTCCTAGGAGCTGCAGAGGGGGCAGTAGGCTTCCAGTGGGCCTTTGGGGTGAGCAGAGAGGTCAGGAGTGTAGGCTTAAGCCAGAGCCCAGGGGCAACATTCCCTGAGATGAGTCAAGCCCCAGCCCTCTTCGGGGTTTCCAGAAAGAGGCTGGGTGTGGCGAGCAGTACTGTGGAGGGGGCAGGGCACTGTCTCCAGGTGCTGCTGGAGTGAAGGGAGGCTGATGGGTGTACAGTCTGGCAACTGGGCATTTCTGCATGATAGCAGGGGTGAGAACCCTTATGAGGGATCATGCACCACAGCTGGGCTAGAGCAGCCAGAATCAGGCCTGGGGGCAGTGGGTCTGCTGGGGTGACCCCAGTTAGCAAGGAAAGTCAATCGCTGCCCACAGTTGAAGCAACTGTATTTATGCAAGATGAGGCAGGTAGCCTCCTCCATCAGGGATGGGGTCATTTCTCAGGCTTAGGTATTAATGCTTCCAGAATTCATTAGACTGGAAGAATGGGTGTGTGTGTGTTGGGGTGGGAGGTTTTGGGTTTTGGGGGGGGGGGGTTGAGATTAAGAGCTTCCTTAGCCAAACCTACTATTCAATTCCCCCAGAGCTACTCTTTTACCCACCCACTCCAGACACTCAACTGGCTGTTCTCACTTCCCCAGCTTTTCTCACAAGGCACTTGTCACAGGGCTGCTGTGGGGAGGGCTGGGAAGTGGCTCTGATGGTGGCACCCAATCTCCAGCGTCAGAAGTCAGGATGAGGCCATCAGGGCCTAACGGCTGCCGTAGTACAAACGTACTGCCAGGCCAATGAGCAGCGTGGCCAGGAAGAAGGCAGCTGTGAGCTGCAGCCGCAGCAGGGCCGCTGAGAGCACAGCATTGACCACCAGCGAGCAGGACACGACGAAGAGGCGCGTGATGCTACTGCCGTGCTTCATGACGGCTGACATGAGCAGTCCGTTCAGCGCCTGGCTCAGCACCACGAGCGCTGCCCATCCTGAGAAGCCCTCCAGGAGGCCGGGGCCAGGGCCGCCGCCTGCATGCAGACCGAGGTTCAGAAGCACACCGAAAGTGTAGAGGAAGAGGTTCTGAAGTGCCAAGGGCAGCCGCTGCCGCTTCATGAGCAGCTCCGTGTACACAGACGACAAGCCTGAGATAAGACAATACAGGACGAGAAGCAGCAGTCCCAGTGGAGTGATGTGCAGGGGCATGGGGCTGGCAGCAGCTGCTGGAGGAGACCCAGGCAGGGCGTGCCGAGGGTCCTGGAGCCCACCAGCGGCGTAGCAGGCTCCTGCAGCCATCAGCAGCAGCAGTGCCAAGCCCTGGCGTGCAGACAGCCGGTGCCGGAGACAGAGGCAGTAGAACAGGGCTGTGCTTCCGATCTTGAGATTGCTCAGCACCTGGTAGGTGCTGGGGTCCATGTATCGCTGAAGATAGATCACCAGGTTGTTGTTAGCCCCGTAGAGGAGGGCTGACAGTGCGAAGGGGGCAGCCTGGCGCCATGGAAGAGCCCCTTGGGGCCATGTTTGCCAGCCTACCAGGAGGGAGAAGGCGCATAGCAGCAGCTTGGTCAGCTCAGTCAGCAGCACGGCTGACGAGGGCCGGAAGGGCACTCTGCCATCCACATGGCACAGTGCCAACAATGGGGCATGGGCGCCATACATGGCAGTGGACAGGAGCAGCATCAGGGTCCAGCGGGCCTGCCTGGGGCGGCCCAGGCCTGGCATACCCCCGTCCTCTACACTCATGCCCATACCAGGCCCTTGGTGGCCTGTGTAGTTAGCAGGGAACAGGCCGCGGGGACTGTGACACATTTGGAAAATCAAGTTATGGAGCCCACTTCTAGGAGGGAGGAGCCCTGACACATCGCTGGAGAGAATACTGAGCTTCAGAACCAGCTGCGAACTCCACAGTCAGGGCTGGAAAGGAGCTGGTGGCCCTAGAAGCCAGTCTTGGGGCCAGTCCCATGGGGTGAGGGTGGGAAGGAGTTCAGGGTGCTGGCTGAGGGGCCACCGTCCACCCTCTGCAGGAAGGGAAGTGAAGATGAAGGTGGCAGGAACGTTGGAGAGAGCAAATGGGTGAGAGTCGAGGAAGCCAAATATGGCACCTGTGCTCGAAAGGCCTCCACCTGCAGGCCCCATTTGTTCATCCTGCCTCCCCCATGGGATCCAGAGCTAGTTGGGCCCTTTGCGCAGTGACCGTAGATAGTCCCTCAAGGTCTTCTCCACATTGGGAACAGCATACGCCTGAGCTGCATAGATGCCAGTGCAGGTGCCCACGGCAAAGCCCAATACTGCTGATGCCCTCAGTTTGGCCACCACATAGCCAGCCAGGAAGCCCTTGAGGAATGGGGAGGACAAGAGCGAGCCATCCTGTGGAGGAAAATGGAGGACACTTAGCCAGGCTCCTCCTTTCTCTACCCAGGAATTACTCAAGCGTCTTACCACCTGCACCTCTTCACTGTGGAAGCAGTCTGTAGCAGTCTATCCAAAGATAGCCTCAAGGTTCTAGAGGCAGAAAAAGAACCTAGAAGTCCTGACCACACAATCTCAGAACCTTCAGGTTCAAAGGCTCCAATCACAGAACCCTACCTCCACAGGCCACACAGCTGTCGCTGTCGTTCCCCTGCCTGCTTTTCCAGCCTCACTTCCTAGCATGCTCCCACACAACTCCAGCCAAACCGAACTGGTGCCCCTCCCATTCATCATGATACCTCCCAACACAAGGGCATTGCATATGCTGTTCCTGTCTTCCCTCTTCACCCAGTTAATCCCTATCTAAGATCCCAGTTCAAGTGGGATTTTTCTTTGGGGTCACAGAGAGCAGACTCTCAATAGCCACTTGCTGAATAGATCTTCACCATCCATTCAAAAGCATATTGGGCAATTAAGCCCAAGAGGGAGTGGGAGAAAGATTCAGCTTTACCTGGCCCACACCACTGCTGACTTCGTCTTCCACACGCCGCTGCAGGTGCTCCAGCTGGTTCTTAAGAAATGCTAGGTCCTTAAGCTTGGGCAGAGAATCCTACGACAAGGAAAAGGCTGACTCCAGCAGACTGACCCAATCCCATCCCTTGCTCAAGTCTATGAGTGGCTGGGATTGGGTAGGGGGCAGGGATGGGGTAAGCCTGAAAAGCTTCTTCCATAAAAAAACCTCCTAGATGACAGTGAAAAGGAAGAAAGGCACTGAAAGGTACAGAACTCAGAGGGACCAAGGAGGGCATGACAGATGGGATGCACACTAGTAACTAACAATAACCCTTATAACTACATTAAATATCAAGTGTATAGAAGAAGGCGGGAAGGGGAGCCATAGGAAATTCAATAGATGTATTAGGAAAGCACTAATGAACAGACTGTATGCTACCTAAAAGTGCTGACTAGTCTCTCCAGCCTATTGTGTCCTCGGGCTTAAAACGGCCTGGGCAAACTCTCGGTAATTGTGTGGGTGGTGTGCAACTTCTAGGCCAATGGTGAGTCATGGCTTGAGGGAGTTCCTTGGGCAATTTGGAAGCAAAACTGATTTCTGCCTGGGCTCCCACTTTCCCCAAGGCCATCCGGAGCTGAATGTACAAATGGATGCGCTAGTCGTTAAGTGCAAAGAATTGGATGAGTGTGAACAGATGTGTGGATCTGGAAACGCAGTGTGACGAGGGAAATTTCAGGAGCCAGCGAATGGAGCAGAGTGAGGAGTGTGGCAGAGCTGAAGGTGTCCTACAAGAGTAGCTGCTGATCGTGACGCTCCGGGAGGGGTCACCTGGGTGAGCCCGGGCTCCGCCTGCCTTTCAGCGCTCCGCCACTTCACTACCAAAGGCTGAGGCAGTCCACAGAGAAGTCCGCCCCGAGGGGAAACCTAGGGCACCCCAACCCACGGGCTGCTCCACTGTCGCCTTTCCTCAGAATTAGGTGTGAGCATCACACCTGACCGATTGTAGATCACCCCCACACACTCACCTTGTCATCCGCCATCTTCCCCGCCGAACTTGTGGCGCAGGCGCAGTCCCGCCCCCCTAAGCCGAGTGGCGCGGCCATCTTTACCGAGGGCGGAGGTACTTCCGGGGCATTTGTGGAAAGGGCGGAGGCGCTTTCCCGGCGGCCGAGATTTAGCGTCTCCTTCCTAGCGGCTAATCCCACGTGACCCCGCGCGCTCGCGTCCCCGACGCGGACGCGTTGACTTCACTTGTGAGCCCAGGCGGGTTTCCGCAGTTCGTGAGCTCACGGGTGCGCGGTGATGTCAGCGGCTGTGTGGCGTCGGTGCGCCTCCCTCGTACTCACGCATGGAAACGCGCACCCACTCGGGAATCCAGACGCTTATTTACACGCTCGGCCCGTCCTCTCCAGCCTCCGGGGCGGCCCCTGCCCCTGCCCCGCCCCGTTTTGGTGCGGCGCTTGCTGGTGCTCCAGACTCCAGCGCAGAGAGGTTGGGCTTACGGGCGCAGCAACTCCAGAGGTCGAGCTGGGCTGAGACTGAGCGCCGGCGCAGGCCGGCGGGGACGCGGCCGAGGCCATGCTGGGCAAAGATTACATGTTGGCCATCATTCTGGTCAACTGCGATGGTGTGCACGGAGGGGCCCTCTGGGTGGACCCGGACCTGGGGGGACGAGTGAGCGCTCAGGGCTGCCCTAAGGCTCAAGACCTGTAGGTGGGGGGAAGGGAGGGTACGTGTCTGGGTAAAGACCGCGAGACGAATGAACCCTGATCTTTGCACTGCAGTATCCAAAATTAGAAGCCCGAATCCTCAGATGGAGCCTCCAGCCTATTAGGGGTGAAGGAAGGTTATTGTCCTCCCTTTCCAATCCTGTGCCTCTCCCATCCTGTATTTCCGTAGATGACTTGTGGGGGGACCAGAATCTGGAGGGTGAGCCAGGCCTTCCCCCTGGCTGGAGGAAGATCCGAGATGCTGCAGGTACTTACTATTGGCACGTACCTAGCGGTAGCACCCAGTGGCAGCGCCCAACCTGGGAGCCAGGAGATGCAGAGGACCCAGGCACGGTAGGTGGAATGTGAGGTGGGGACCTTGTGTGGACCTAGGCGTGTGACTACACTGACCTAGCTCTTTCTTTACAGAGCACAGAGAGGATTTGGGGACTTCGGCCCCCCAAGGGGAGATCCTTCTCCAGTCTGGAGAGCTCACTGGATCGGAGGTAACACAGATAGTCTAGGCAAAATGAAAGACTTGGGGTTCCCTGGCACCCAGAGATAAAGCTGGTGTCAGTCTGTTTCCCAGTCCAGGTTCTGGAATCTGTCCCATGTTTGGGGCTCTGTTTTGTGTTCTTGGCTCTGTCCCATGTTATTGACTTTCAGTATTTTGAGTTCATTCCTTGTTCCAAGTGCTGTCTTTTGCAGTATGGTATTTTCCATATTCTTTGTCCTGATCTAGACTTTGGTCACTGTCGTAGGCTTTGCTCATGAGTCTTCCTGTCCTGAGTTCTAGGGCCTCTTGCCCTGATTTGGGGCCCTGGTTCACAGTTTGGACTCTGCTCCATGTTTGCAGCTTTTATGCTACATTTGTTGTCCTGTCAAATGAGATGCCACACTCTGTGATACCTTTGTTTATATTGCTCTGTCCTGCTCATGTTTTATATTAGAAGTACTACATTATGGGTCTTATTCCACATGTTTTTGCTCATCAAGTAGTCGGAGTTTCACCAGTGTCCTTTCCCTAGGAAGAATGTTCCTCTTACCAGTTCTTCTCTGTTCTAGTAACTCTCTGTCCTGGCTTGGTGAGGAATCCTACATCCAGAGCATGGAGCCAGGGGCTAAGGTAGTCACTTGAGCTTGAGGGTCAGCGCAAGGCATGGGGAAGAGTCTCAGGAAGATTGCCAAGGATGGGATTGGGCTGAGCAGAAGTGACAGGCATGCATGGAGGGAGTAGAAGTATCAGGGTTATATGTGTGGGGTCTGTGATACCTTCCATCCTACTGCATCTCTACTCAGGACCCTCATGTCCTTTCCTTCAATCCCAACAGTGCTTTGCGGTCCGCTCGCTGGGCTGGGTAGAGGTACCTGAAGAGGACCTGGTACCAGGCAAGAGCAGTATTGCAGTGAATAACTGCATCCAGCAGCTGGCTCAGACCCGCACTCAAAGCCGGCCCCAAGAAGGTGCCTGGGGTGAGGTGAGCTGGTCCTTTAAGGGGGTTAGCCTATGACTGGTAGAGGTAGTTTTCATTGAATTGCTTCTCCTCAGTGGCGACCACTGTCATCTGAGCTCTGGACTGATCTCTATCCTTGGCAGGGCCAGAACATGCTCATGGTCTTGAAGAAGGATGCCATGAGCCTGGTGAATCCCCTGGACCACAGTCTGATCCATTGCCAGCCTCTGGTGCACATCCGTGTATGGGGTGTGGGCAGCTCCAAGGGCCGGTGAGGATCCATATATCCCCCCACATTGTAGTTGCTCCTCCCTTCCCCTTGCAGGCTGTGATCCCCACTGATGTTGACTCCCTGTACTTGAACCCTTGGACACAGATCCTCTGACATGGATCCAAGCTCGGCCTCCCCTGCGTGGTCCAACACTGATTGGGGAGGGTGGGCCCAGCTCAGCAGGGACCGATGGGGGAGAGCCTGACAGGCTAGGCTGATTCTCTCCTGTGCTCCCACATGCTTCTGGAACAGTGACAGGTGAGTGAGAGCCAGGTGTCTCGACGCCCAGCCCTGACCTCCCTGTTCTTCCCCTGCCATGTCCCTTGCCCAACTTGACAGCTTCCTGTAGGCACTACAGGCCCCTGCCACTCCCCAGCCCCTATCCTGGTGCTGTCTCTACCCCTGTCCCAGCCCCATCTCTGACCATGCCAGGGACTTCGCTTTTGTGGCGGGTGACAAAGACAGCTGTATGCTCAAGTGCCATGTGTTTCGCTGTGACGTCCCTGCCAAGGCCATTGCCAGTGCCCTACACGGGCTCTGTGCTCAGGTAAGGGCCACAAATGGTGCAGGGAACATGGGTGAGGAGCTGGGTCTGAAACTTCCAAGGTGGTTGGGGCAGGTGGCATCGGCTCCCTTACCTCAGGCCCCGTCTCTCTGCACCTCACACTGACTGAATTGCATTTCAGATCTTGTCAGAGCGAGTGGGAGTGAGTAGTGATTCCCCTTGCTGCTCCTTAGATCCCATCTCCCCTGAAGACCTGCCACGGCAAGGTATGGGAAGGGAGGTGCTGCCCTGCAGTAGCTGGCCACTTTGGTGAAAGGTGGAGTGAGGGTGGGATCCTGGTTATTTAGTGTTTCTGGAGTTGGGGATGTCTGAGATGCCCTGCTTCCAGGGATGCCAAACCCTAAATGGAGGCAGGCGTGTCGGTAGCCTTCCTTCTGCTTGCTCCAGCCCTTAGATGGGTGGGGAAAGGTGTCATTGAATGCCCAGGCCAGCTTGGTGTTTGCATTTCAGTGGAGCTGCTGGATGCGGTGAGCCAGGCTGCGCAGAAGTATGAGGCGCTGTACATGGGGAGCCTGCCGGTCATGAAAGCCATGGGTGAGGCCTGTGCGCTGCAGGGTGTGGGATGTATCAGCTCATGGGGGGCAGGGGGTGGCAGGACCTGTCACCTGGGATGTACCACTCTTGCCAATTCAGGATTTTAAACCCTGCCCCAGTATTCTGTTCCTGTCCCCCTGAGCCCAAGTTAGTGAGAAGGGCCAGGACACTTGGCAGAGCTCTTCTTTCTTCATGTGTTGGAGACACTAAGGTGGGCATTTCCCCCCAGGTATGGATGTGCTGAACGAGGCTATTGGTACCCTCACCATCCGGGGGAACCGGGAGGTCTGGGTGCCCACCATGCTCAGTGTGTCTGACTCTCTCATGACCGCGCATCCCATTCAGGTACCAGAAGGTGAAGTTGGAGGCTTTGGAGGGGTGGGTGGGGATCATGAGGGGTCATTGCTGGCTGTTGGGAGGGCTCAGTGTGTCCAGCCAGTGCCTGCCCTCTAGTGACTAGGCCTGGTGTGGGCAGGCAGAAGCTGGTGCAGAGGAGGAGCCACTGTGGCAGTGTCCTGTGCGCCTCGTGACCTTTATTGGTGTTGGCCGTGACCCACACACCTTTGGCCTCATTGCCGACCTGGGCCGGCAGAGCTTCCAGTGTGCTGCCTTCTGGTGCCAGCCCCATGCTGGGAGACTCTCTGAAGCTGTGCAGGCTGCTTGCATGGTGAGTGAGAGGTGGGGGGAGAGGGTGGGGTTGCCCTGCAGGGTTTCTCTATTGAAGACTGAGGCTCAGGATCAGTCCTTTCTCCAGAGATTACAAACCAGCGATCCCAGGGTTGGCTGTAGTTTTATTTGACCCTCATGCAGTTTTAGTTGTCAGTATTTTAAGCTGGGGCATTTTACATAGTAATTGCTATTCTTGTTTTTCTAAAATTGCTTAAAGCTCTGACACTGGGTCTACATACTGATTTCCACACAACTGGAATCATGAACGTCCCGGTCCCCTGTAGGTTAGACCCCGCTTTCCTGCTTGTCTCATTTTGTTTGTTTCCTGGTATCTGTAGCCATTTGAGTGTGGGATGCTTACACTTTGCTTGCTTGGTTCATTTTGCTCATTCCTTAACAAATATCAGTACCTTCAGGTTACGAGGCATCTTACTTGCCCCCAGGGAGTTCAGGGGAATAGAGGGCATAGCTCTCGTCCTTACAGTAACTTCGATTAGAGAGAAGGTAGCTCAGAACGAATGTACACACCACAGGATGATGGAGACAGACCTTCTGGGGTTCAGGAAGTTTATCCCGAGAGGTGAGAGAAAATCCATAGTTGAAGGTAGAAGGAGGAAGTTAGCCTGGTGAAGGGAGTAGGCTAGAAGGTGTACCAAGTACTGGGAATCCCAGCAGAGAAGGTGAGAAATGTTGGTGGTGTCTGCAGTAATACTCTAATGTAGTGTATCTGGAGTACAAGGGAGGGGTGTTAGAGTAAGAGACGGGGGCAAAAGAATGTCAGAAATCAGGTCATGGAAGAACTTCGTGGGTTTTTTTTTTTTTTTTTTAAATCCCAAGACACTTGAAAGGATTTGAACAGGACAGTGAAGTCAGGTTTGTGCATTGGGAAGACCACTTAAACTATAGTATGGGTAAAAGATTTGGAAGACTGCAGAAGTACTAGGAAGATCCTTAGTTAGGACTCTGGTGTTAATGAGAGATGATTTGGTTACTTGCATTGGGAGTTTGGGCTGTCCACCTTCCCTTTGACTAGGGAGTCCACTGTGCCTGAGACCAGTTCATTCCAGTGAGAGAGAGCACTCACAGCTGTAGGTGAGGTTGAGAGTTCAAACCTGTAGAACCAGGTTTGAATCCCAGTTCTGCCAGTTACTGGCTGTGTGACTAAGCAAAGTCATGTGCTCTCTCCCATCTCACCCTTTTTAAAAAAAAATTTTATTACTAGAACTGGGGTGTAGGCCAGAGGTGCAGGGGGTAAGGGGGAGGCACGATTTGTGAGAGGATTCACCAGAATCAGTGGGGAGCAGAACAGGTGGGATGACTGAAGTACACTGCTGAGGAGAGCAGCGGGCAGGATAGGAGATGTCTGCTGGGCCATGTGGGTCAGCTCCCTGGCCGAGATTGAACTTAGGCCATAGAGGTGATAGGGTTGAGATTAATCCCTGGGCTACCAGGGAAGCTTCATGTGCTCTCTCTAGATCTGTCTCCTTATTTGCAAAATGGGGATAATGACACCTGATAAATAACCATTGTTTAAGTTAGGTTATACAAAACACTTAGCATAGTGTTTATTAACCTTCCTTGAATGCTCAGGAAATGTCAAGTTTTATGTTTTTTTTCCTACCTGGGAATGCTGATGGGGTTCCAATGTGACCGACTAACAGCCTCATATCAAACCAAAACATTCCTGCAGAAACTTTCAGGGAATCCAGGGACAGAAAGGACCTGGATCCTTACATTCACCTTCTCCCTAGGTTCAATACCAGAAGTGTCTTGTGGCCTCTGCAACTCGAGGCAAGGCCTGGGGTGCTCAGGCTCGTGCCCGCCTGCGACTCAAGCGGACCAGTTCTGTGGACTCTCCAGGAGGTCCCCTGCCTCTCCCTCTGCTCAAAGGAGGAGTTGGCGGTGCAGGGGCAGCCCCTCGAAAGCGGAGTGTCTTCTCTTTTCTCGATGCCTTCCGGCTGAAACCCTCTTTGCTCCATATGCCCTAAATTGTTCCAGAAGGACTGGGGAAAGAGGCTCTGGGTCCATGTGCAACTCTACACTTTCCTTCTCCAAGGGCCTGTAGCCACTTCCCCCTTGGAGCCTTCTCTGCCTGCCCCTCAGACCCTTGCCCAACCTCTATTTATTGCCCAATTTATTGTTTATGTGGGCGACTAAGAGGCCCAACATCACAACTAGGCCCCTGGCTTTCCTTCTCCTGGATCCCTGTGTTCCTTGCCCCTGTCTGGTTCTGGACAGTTGGCTCTACCTCAGCAACACTTTATAGCAAAATCAGTACAAATAAAAATTCCTCAGTGACCTCAGTGGGTGTGAACATATTGGGCCTGGGTCAGAACTGGGGGCTAACAACAAGTGTGAGGTGAGTGAGTCTGGCGGTTGGGGACTTCTTGTAGTTGCATGAGGGCATGGATGCGATGGAAATCCAGTTTCCATTTATTCAACAGGTAGATCTTCCAAGGTCTTTTCTATGCCAAGCACTAAGCTAGCCACCAGGGATGTGGTAAGAGTAAGGAATTCACCTTTTGAGACTGTCAGAAGGAGGAAAAATAAATTGTCAAAAGACTGAAAATAGGAAATCCGAGGCATGGTCAGCGCAATGTGCGTTGTGCCTCAGATGCGATGACTTCCTGAAGAGCTGGCATAGAATATTGAAGAAATTTTAGTACTAGCTTTTGAAGTTAGTATAAATGTGAGAGGTGGAGGTGAGATTTCAGAAGCCCACCATTGAGCAGCATCTGTGGGGCAGGCGATACCTCGAGGTTTCAACTTGTGCACTTGAGCTCTGGAGAGATGGACTCAGAAGGGACGGAGCGCCGCCTTCTGGCGAGAGTGTCCGCTGCATCATTGGAGGAAATTTCGACCCCCTGGGGGAGCTAGCGTTCTCACAGCAGCCCGCGCGTTTCCGGAAGACAGTGGAACTTCAAAGGCTCCGGAGGGGAACGGGAGGGGGCGGCGCGTTCCAGCGCACTTGGCCTTGTGGCCGCCCCGGAAGTGACGCGTTGCCCCGCTGGCGGTGCGGAAGTTGACATGGCGGAGCTGTACGTGAAGCCGGGTGAGCGCGGCCAGCGGGCTGGGGGCGCTGGGACTTCCCTCAGGCAGAGGCTGGGTGCGGCTACCGCCTGGATTGCGAACCCTGGGTCTCCCCCAGACCCGTTCGCCTCACACGTCTCCTCACTTCCGCAGGCAACAAGGAGCGCGGCTGGAACGACCCGCCGCAGTTCTCCTACGGTCTGCAGACCCAGACCGGCGGACCCAAGCGCACACCGCTCACCAAGAGGGTTGCCGCCCCCCAGGATGGATCCCCCAGAGGTGCGTGGGGTCCCTGAGTGCGAAGACCACCGAGACTGGGCGGTGAGCCGATAAACTTGTCCAGAAGGCCCCTTTTGCTCAGTTGAGGACTCCCCGAAAGGTTGGAACGCCCCAAAGGGGCTCAGGGCAGGCCTTTCAAATCTTTGGGTTTGTAATTCTCATTCTCAATTTATTTTCAACCAGCGTTGCTCTCCGGAACTCCGTAGTGATATATCCACTCACGTATTCTATACAGCTTCACTTGAATAAATTAGCACCTTAGATTTAACGTGTGTTATAAGCCCATTTATCAGTATTTTTTTCTGAGCATCTACTGAGACACCAAGGCGACCTAGACAGCATTAAACAAAAAGGTTTCTGCTTTCATGGTGTCGGCACTCTCAGCTCTGGAGATAGACACATGAAATAATAGTGAAGGTTCTGACAAGAAATAATGTCTTGTGTCTGAGAGGCTAATATTTAAACTGAAATCAGAATGATTCCAAGCCCTTGATGAGGATGGAATGTGAATGTGCCATGCGCTTGGAACAGCTGGTCCAGCAGTGGAACAAGTTTGGCAGATTCAGAAGGAATACCTGGTTATCTACAGCATGTACGCACTGGAAATAATGAGAAAGGGCCAGATCACAGTGGGTTTTGTAAATCAGGATAAGACATTTTTATTTTCTACAGAAGATTGGAAGGCACTGCAGAGTTTATGTAGACGGGTCTTTTACTGGTCAGAGACCTTAGGCATGGGAAATGCTGAGGGAGAGAACCAGATTCAGGTCTTTCATGGTCCCTCAATTCTTCATACCCAGAACAATAAGCAAAGGAAAATGAGGGATAACCAAAGAAAGAATCGAATCGATTTAAACCAGGGTTCTTAACTTTGGAACTACTGACATTTTGAGCTAAGTAATTGTTGTGATGAGCTGTCTTCACGTTGTTGGATGTTAACAGCATCCCCAGCTTCTACCCACCAGATACCAGTAAGCACAAATCCAGATGTGATAGCTGAAAGTGTCTCAAGATGTTGTGCTTAGGGCAGAATCTTCCCCAGTTTTTATATCTTATTTGTGTGTGGAAAACCAGTTTTAGGGAAGAAGTGGAAAGGGATTAAGAGGCTGTCATGCTAACACAAGCAAAATATAATTTGGAGAGGGTTGGGAGTTCTAAAAATAAGAGATATGTTACTGAGAAAATCAATAGCAACAATATAGGAGGTGAGGGAAAGAAACAGTGTAACTTACATTATTTGCTTGAAGAACTGGCTGGGGTATTGTTCATTGATATGGGAAGCCTGGGGAATAAAGGTTTTGTGAGAAGGACAAAAGCAAACTTTGTCTCTGTCCTATTAAATCTGGGCTGCTGTTTTGGGGAGAGATCTAGACCACATTAGAGAAACGAGTCACCATCACATGGATGGTTTTTTTTTTTTCCTCAAAGTTTATTTATGCATACACAAGAGTTCACCAGAGAGAGTGGGGAGTAGAACAGGCTGATTGAAATACACCACTGAGGGGAGCAGTGGGTAGACAGAAGAGGTCTGCTGTGCCATGTGGGTCGGCTCCCTGACTAGGAATGGAACTCATGCCACAGTGGCAGGTGAGAACTTCACAGTGCTGAGACTTAGCCCCTCCTGTGACCAGAGAGGCCCCCTTTGGATGGTATTTGATGTCATTTTTATTTAAATAGGAAATGTGACAGGTGACCAGAGAAGACCCAAGATGATTCCTATGGCTCTCTAGCACTTCAGCGTTGAGTTGGGAGGGAATAAGCAAAGAAAACTGAGCGATAACCAAAGAAAAAAAAATTTTACTCTGGGAGAAGGATACTGATGAGAAGTCAGGTTAGAGAAGGAGGACCTTACCAAGAATAATCTGTGAGCGGTGAGAGTAACCCAGCTGGAATGGGCTGAAGACAGAATGTGAGAAGTAGAATGATTACATTTAATTTAAAAACATCCTAGGAAGTACCTGAAGATGAAATAAGGGGGGGAAGGCCCACTAGAGCATCTTCAGCATCTTCTAGAGCTAAGAGGTGACTGAGTAGGGAGAGAGACCCAATATACAGGAAAAAAACATGAAGGCAGAGAGGCTGGGATGTACAGCAGGGCTGGAGAAGCCACAAGGAAGAAGAACAGGGAGCCTTCATCTGATAGAGGAGGGAACATGCCCTAGATGCAGGGGGGTTGGTAGGACTGGTGTAAGAAGATTCTGTTTGCAGGATCTCTTTTGTTAGTGGAATCTGAGGCAGGGGTAGAACTAGAGACAGCAGGGAAAGGAAAAGAAGAGTTTAAAAGAGAAAAAGTGTGGATAAATAAGGCAAAGTGTGGGATTTAATCCATGGTCATGAATTTTAAAGTCAAACTCATCAACATGGTTCTGTTTTTCTTCTCAACAAGTACAGGCAAGTTGGGTTGACAGTGAGAGGGTATCAGTTGGTAAGAGTGTTTGTAAGAAGTAATGAAATTGGGGTAGCTGAGCTAGACGGGGAGGAGTGGTCAGATTTCGGAGGTAGTATGGTATTGAGACAGGCAGAGGGCAGTGGCACTGAGGTAGGGTGGAAAATACAACCTTTGGAGAAATCAAGAAATCAGAGGCCACCTTACTAGTAGAGTAGCTGTCATATGGATGTACGTTTTTTATTTTTCTCCTCCAGTAGTGGTCCTACCAGCCCATCACTAAAGCCAGAAGCCATGAATTGTCTTGGATTCCTCTCTCCACTAAGTCAGTATTGCCTCCTCCTAAATAACATCTCAGAGCACTCCACTCCCTTCCTCTAGTCTCTGCTGGCATTCTCTTTCCTGGACTTCTCCAGTAATCAACCAGCTGCTGTCCGTACCTCCATTCTTGACCTATTCTCACCAGCTTTTCACATGCTGTACAATGAATGTCTTAAAAACCATCTACTCACATTAGCCCCTGCTCACCTGTCCCTAGATCACTCACCCTACTTCCCTGCTACTGATTTCCAGCCACACTGGCCTTGGCTCTCTCCCTTGAGTGAGTCAGTCTCCCCTGCTCCTTAGGCACAGCCCTTGCTCTGCCTAGTGCCTGTAGTGTCTTCAGCGGTTCATGGCTATATGTGTTTTATCCACTAGTTCTTCACCCACTCTGAACAGTTTTTGCTACACACTTATCTAGCAGCTCTACTTGTATTCTCAGTTATCTCTGCAACCCTGTAAAATAACAATTATTCAGAAGTGGGAAAATTGTTCCCATTTTGCAGAAGAGAAACCCAAACTCAGAGGTTAAATGTCATATTCGGAATTAGCCAGGATAACTTAGTTATCACCTCAGAAAAGCCTTCCATGAACAGTCTAAGTACGTCTTCTATTATTTCATGTTACCACACCATCCATTCTCTTTGTCGCATACAGCACAATGTGGTAATTTTCTTGTTTTTTTTTTCCCTTCCTCTAGAATTTAAGCTGCGATCAGGAACCTAATCTGTCTAGTTTACTATTCTGTCTCTGTGGCTTCACTTAAGAAATTAAGTTAGAGTTGAGTGCCTTACCCATTTAAGTCATAATTACTTGACCCTGCTTTACCTTTTCAGTACCCACCTCAGAGACTTCTCCTGGGCATCCCCCAATGGGGCTTCCACCTCCTTCAAGTAAGGCTTCTGCCCCCCCCACTGTGGGGAGCTGTTCTGCCTTTTTTGTGGAGCCCACCAATTCCCCAGTCACTGAGTCTGAGACTGTCCTGGAAGAGGTGCTGAGACCTTTGGAACAGGCATTGGAAGACTGCCAGGGCCACACAAAGGTAAGCACTGGCATGTGCGTTGGCTGTTGGGGTGGGCTGCCACTGCTGCCAGGTGCAGGGGTGGCTCCCAGAGATCCCCTCTGAGCAGCGGCTCTTAACCCTTTTTGAGTTATGAACCCTTTTGGGATCTGCTAGGGATTTCCCAGAAAAATGAACATGGAGTTAAGGAGGGCTCATGGAGTTTTGAAGACTGGTCAGAAGTGGTATTTAGGGACAAAAGTTGGATCGAACTCTCATTAGTGATAAAAATCTGGTTTTTGTATCTTTATATCACTCAGAACAGACCCCGCTGATTCTGTGCTCCAGGAGAGAGGGAAAGGCCTCCCTTCTCCCCCTTGCCCAAATCTATGATGTTGTCCTAAGTTCTGTGGTGGCAAGGAATCTGAGGATTCTTAAGGAAAATATTCCCTAGCAATTTGTACCGCTAGGGTCCTTAGGTCCTTATTTGTAAAGTAGCACAACAGAATGAGTTTAAGAATTTGAGATATTCCTGGAATCTGAAAAATTCTAGGCACAAATTTATTTTTCTTAAACGTAGATTAATATTTTTTACTGGCATCTCAGTGAAGTTTCTAACATGTGGGTCAAGTATCAGAACTTGAAGGTTAAATGCAGAGTGCCTTGGACACAGAATGCCAGTACTTCCTGTGTAGTCTGTGTTCCCTTGCCCAGTGGGCTCCAAGCTGACTTGGAGGGGGCATCTGTCTCTCAGAAGCAGGTCTGTGATGACATCAGCAGACGCCTAGCTCTGCTGCAGGAACAGTGGGCTGGAGGGAAGCTATCAACGCCTGTGAAGAAGAGGATGGCTCTGCTGGTGCAAGGTATGAGTGGGTCCCCTGTGGTACAGCCCAGTTTCTTCCTGCAGCCATGGCTGGCTGGCCTGGAACAGGTCTGAGAATTAAGGCTACCTGCTCAGCCCCTCTTTCTCCTTAGAGCTTTCAAGCCACCACTGGGAAGCTGCAGATGACATCCACCGCTCACTCATGGTTGACCATGTGACCGAAGTCAGTCAGTGGATGGTAGGAGTTAAAAGATTGATTGCCGAAAAGAGGAGTTTGTCTTCAGAGGCGGCGGCCGATGAAGAGAAATCTATAGCCACTGCTGAGAAAACCCAGATTGTACCAGGCGTCCAACAGGCTCCATAATTCTGCAGGTTCCCCAAACTCACAATCACACCATCTCCTGTGTGTTGGCATGGGAGGTCTTCTCATTTGGCTCCCTCTTGCCCCTTGAGAGACTGCCTCAGTGGGGTCCTTGGCCTGACCCATCTCTGGGGAAGAGATCTCACCGGGGCCACTTGTTAACCATTACATGGATTTCAATAAAAACATCTCAGTGGTAGGCTCTGGTTTAGAGGAGGTGCACCCTTTCCTGTGCCATACTGTTCCTCCGCAGTGTCTCTGACTACCCTGTTCCCCAGGTATCCAGCAAATCTGTTTTTCCTTCATGCTCTGGACATGAACAGATTACTGTTTGCCACTTTCCCCTCCAATCAGAATGAAAAGTACAACTTGCTGGGCTGAGTAGCACTAACTTTGGATGATTTCATTTCAGCATGACAACAGAAGCTGAGCTAGCATAAGGGATTTCAAGGATTTCAAGAAAATGAGACTGCCCTATCTGTTCTGTTCCCACCTTTGAAGTATAAAAGGCCAACAGTGATTGGAGTGAGGAATTAGGAAGAACATGGCCATGATAATTAGAGAAATTAAAAAAGAAAAAAACGGGAGAAATTATTTCAAATGCTCTAGAGAATAATGAGAACCACAGGTTTGAAAATGCATAAATTTAAGGAGAAAAGGACTAGATTACAAAACTGAGGTTATGACTGACTTGCCATATACACTGCTGCCCTAGTTTGGGCCCTAAATTCTTTCATGAAAGTAGCCATATTAGGCACAAGGGGCCACAGAGGTTTGTACCATGCTATAAGAAGGGAGGGTACAGTTTTCAGTGACAGAATAAAGGGGGTGGTACTTACAGGTGAGGCAGAAAAGGCACGGAGAGATGGTAAACGGCTGGGCACCACCTCTTCTTTGGAATAGCTAGGGAAGGACTGTTGGAAAAGTACAATTCCAGGAATGTTGTGTCCTGGAAAGGCTGGGACAGTTCCTGGCAGGGGTCAAAATATTGCTGGTCACGGTTTGGCAGGTCTGGTAACCTATCCCTATAGCTTCAGGCTCTAATAGCTGCTGGAAGTGGGCCCAGTGGAGAGTGACCTAGGACCTCTGGTCCAAAGCAGGCCTGCTGGGGCACCTCGGCTGTATGGCTGAGATGGAAGATCAGCATTGAGGACACTGGAGCCAAGGCATTTCTTTGAATGTTTACTAAGCAGAAGGTGACAGACTCCTTTCCCCAGTCCCAGCTTTAGCCTTGAGCATGAAGGGCTGGGGTTGGGAAGAGTGCCTGCAGACCAAAGAGAAAGTAGAGCAAAGGGCTTGGCAAGTTGCCCATGCCTATCTCTGGTCTAGCTGCCTCAGAACTAAGGGAGGCCCAGAGCCAACAAGTCACTTCCTTCCAGATTAGATGAGGCCAGTTGGCCTTTGGCTACCCCCGGGAGAGGTAGTGACAGGAACGTCATGAGGGATCCCTGTAACTCCATACACACAGTCGTAGGCAGGCACTGGATTAGATGTCCATTTCAAATTGTGCGTCATCTGGGGGAAAAAAGATAGAACTGGTTTTTGGGCTGAGGGTTTGCAAGCTCAGGATCAGTGAAGAAAACTCTCGGAGAAGCCCCACTCCAGTGAAGGCATTTTAAAATTTTAGGTCCTGTTTTCCTTACCGGGTATCTCTTCCTCTGTCTCCTTCTGCTCCTTCAGCTCCTCCAGCTTGGAAGGTGGGGCTGTTGGAGGAGTTGTGACCCCGGGAATCTGAGGGAGGCAGCAGGGGGGTGTCCGGGCAGTGGGAGAGTTCTTGCACTCCAGCAGGAACTTTCGGTCGTAGGTGATCCTGGTGCCTGTCAAGGGAAACAGGTAAGAGGCAGCAGTTCGGCTACAGAGCTGTCTGGAACTCCAGATACAGGCCTTTTATTAAGGGCCCCAGTCTTAATTCCTGCATATCAGAGGGTGACAACTCAGAGGCCCAGCCAGGATCTCTACCATCAGGACCTAAACAAGATGTGGTTAAGCCCCATAAAGCAAATGGGGACCCCAGCTGTTCCAGGTAGGGGTTTTTGGTTTAGGAGTTTCAGGTGTTGGTTCTAGGAGCACCAAACTGGGAACTCAAATTTGACTTAAGGCAGGCTGTGACTGTACAGTTTTACTAGGAGTAGGACTTGACTGCTTTGGTTTACTTGGTGGGGCCCAGCTCTCCCACCTCAGCTAAGTCAGGGAGCCACACAAACTGGTGAGGGCTTTTCACCCATACTGCCACAGGGGTTCTGATACTCTGATGGGAGGAGCACACTCCCTGTAAAACACGGGCACAAAATGTTCTTAACTTGACCTCTCCCAAGTACAATCAGGCTCAGCCCAGCCTAGAGGAACTTGGTGTCCTAGTAGGGGCCCCGCCTTGCTCCTGCCCCTCCCCTCAGGCTCCACGTGGCAGCAACCCCTGGTTCTGGAGCCCAGGATCTGATCACGGCTACTGGCCCAGCCAGCTCAAAGTCCCTGCCTTCAACTGTCTAGTCCCACACCAGCCACTTCACAAGACCTGGTGATGAGGCTGTGGTGAGATGGGGCCTCACCTGCTCCCAGGAAGCAAAGTCGGGGAGAGGCGGATGATTAAGAGCCCAGCCCACAGAGGGATTTCAGCCCAAGACACCAGGAAGGAGCGCTGATACTCTGAGGTTTTAGGAACTTGAGTTTCAGCTCCACCCACCATTCCCCCAAATCCAACCAGCACAGGGCCAGTGGACAAGTCCAAGTCTCACCCCTCCCGGCCCCGGCCCCGCCACAGCACGCACGCGCTCGCCAGCGCTGCCTGCAGACCCCGTCCCTGCCTGCTGACCTCCCGGGGTGGTGGCATATAGAGTGCCCCCCGGCGTGGTGCTGTAGCAGTCGGGCAGTCGGTCCCTGCCCCCGGGGATCGGGCAGCTCGTGGACGTGGACATAGCAAGCGGGATGAGCAGGAATGCAAGCGGCTGGTACCGAGGACGCTGAGCGCAGCTGAGTCTGAGGCGGACTCAGTGGACCACGTGCGGCCGCAGCAACAACACCAGGACGACGTCACGCCCGGGGCGGGCCACCCGCCGTCACTCAACCCGACGGTCCCGCCCTACCTGCGAGGGAGCAAGCCCGGGCTAGCATAGAGCTGGAGGGAGTTCCAGGTCCAGCACTGGCCTCCAGTCCTTCCTGGCCCCACATTGGCCAGCCTGCCTGAGCGCTCAAGCTCCTTGCTATTGGCTGTTTACAGCTGGGTGCTTTACTCCTGTACCTCTCAACAATTTTGGAAACTAAAGCACTATTACTGTCCACACAAGGGAGGAAACTAAAACCCAGAAAGGTTACTTGTTCAAAGTCACTTACACTGTAGGAGAGAAAGCTGAGTTTTAAATTGTGAACCTGTGCCCTTCACAGATGTGTTTGGCCTCCCATTAATTAATGGGAAAAGATGGAACGTGCTTTGATGGTCCGGTGCACAACAGGAAGGTCAGGCTGGGAGGTGCAGTTTCTGAAAGGAGACCTGGGTCCAACTATGAAGGATGAGTCAAGGTTGGGTGATGAAAGAGGCCTAGGTCTGTCCTTCGATCTCTCTGCCACAGCTAACTCACCTCAGGAAACTAAGAAAGGGCAAGGAGAATTTGGTCTTTAGCTCCCAGGAAAGGAGGACCAGAGCCTGGCCTTCAGTTAGATTTAAGACTTTTTGATGTAGGTATAGTGATACGATATGAAAGGAGGCAGGAAGAGTTGGGAGAGTACTAAGTTTAATACCTGTGTACTTCCAAGAGCTAGGGAACTAGAAAATATGTTGTTGGCTTTTAGAGAGAAAGCCAGATTCACTATTCATACAATCTGTATGCAGAATTAAGGGCTTAAAGAATCAGTTGATCAGCACTAATTACCCATTAAGAGTATGTAAGCTGAAAATAAAACAACTATGCCCAGGCCCATCTGCCCATATAACCTGAATTAACCTGAACCTATTAGGTCTCTGCTACCAGGCAAATTACCGGGAACTCACACACATAAACAAGAGGTAAAAAATAATCACAAAATAGGTTTGCAATTAGGTCATCAGATTCACAAACTTTGTTTTCCAAATTTGGTTCTGAAGTCTAACTCCTGCCCATTACTGGAGATGGTCTTAATACACTTCAGTTTATATAAAACCACCCTTTCTCTCCCATTGCCAACAGGAGAGAATGAAGGTGAAAGAACTGCCTGTTGGCAAATAGTGACAAATCTTTGAAGATGACTAGAAAATTAGAAGATGACTGGCATTATTAGAATCTCTCACTCTAGGGCAGGGTCCACAGGGAAGATGTCATAATTTACCATATTTTTGGTGGAAGAGTTCTAGGGCTTATGAGAGAACATGGTGTTCAGAAGCTGTTTTCCTACAGATTTGTTTGTCTCTTTGTAGGTTTACAATGTGGTCCAAAGGTCTCAAAAACACTGGGACAGAACCTCCTATACTAAGTACTTCTTTCTGTTTGGTTTCAAACTATTATTCAACAAGCTATTCCCTTTCTAGATGCTACATGTAATAAAGAGTGGTCTTGTGGGTCTCCTTGGTGGTGCAAATTAAAGTCAGAGCTATCAAGCTATCTTCAGCCACTGCAGCATGAACTTGATCCCCAGCCAGGGAGCCAACCCACTCATATGGGGCAGACCTCTCCATTCTCCTGGCATGGCCCATTGCTTCCTTCAGCAGTGTATTGCAGTTGACCCTCTAGTTCTCCTCCCTACTCTTCTTTCTGGTGAATCCTCTCACCTCCTGCACCTCTTGCCTAGGCCCCAGTTTCTTGTATGCATAAATAAATAAAAAGCAAAACCAAAAACAACAACAAAAAAAACCCCAACACCTAGTGCATTGATTTTGCAGTTGGGAGGAAGATTTGGTCAGAATCTACAAGAACAGATGAACACTGCAGTTCCAATTCTTGAGATTTCTTACCTCTGGTTAGGAGAGGCCCCCAATGGCTGTCCAACTCTCTTCTTCGGTCTGCTCAGATGAGCTGTTGGGATTTCCCCTTTGAGAGCAGGGACTGAAGGAAGCAGACTGGCCTATAAAAGGGCAAGTCAGCACACTGTAGCCACAATAGGTTTAAAGGGTCTTAAAACAGCAATAATTTTATTGGTGGTAGAATTTTATTATATTCAACACTATTTGAAATGAGTGGGTCCAGAAACCTTGATGACACAGTTTTATTCCTTGAAACAACTGTCATTCACAATGGGTTCGACTTATGCCTCAGCAGGATGTTTCTTAAAGACTTGAGGGCTCACTATGGATAGGCAAAGTTTTCTTTTGCCCCTACTAAAAGCTCAAAGTCATTACTGGTCTCCACAACAGCAGGCTTTTGATTCCATGTGAGAACCAACAGGAGGAGGTCTCAAATCTCAGCAATGTGAATATTCTATTGGCTTCAGTATTTCCATACTATATATTCTCATTCATAAGAAGACCTGTTACATCTAGGAGTCTCTTGAGTTCATTTATGTTCAATTTCATTTTCAGATGAGGAAAATGAAGCCCAGAAATGAGAAATGACTTTCCTGAAGCTAGAGAGCTTAAAGTGGCAGAAATGAAAAGAGAATTTAAGCCTCTGACCCTTATTCCACTGTACACATGCTGCCTCCCCCCAAATCCCTTATGTATTTTGAAAGTAATTAAGTTCTTACCTGAGCTAGGTTTAATCCAAGGTTCAGGATGGTAAAATAGCAGTAAAGTAATGCCAGGAAGAGGCAAGACAGAGGAAGAAGAGATTACAGCAGGCAAAATGGGGGTGGGAGGAGGAGTAGGTTACTGGGATCCAACTAGAAATGAAGGCAATGTGGCTGAGGGCACAGAGAAGGCACCTACCCTAAATAACTACTCTGAACTGCACAGCACGTTTCTTCCTGATCTCTCTAGAGGCTTCTCATAATTACTTCCTCCACTTATGGGTTTTAATTCCTGACATGAAATAAAATTCCTTATCCTAATGCCTTCAGAGTGCAGATGGTAAGATTAGATACTCTTGAATTAAATACATAATCCAAATGTACTGTAAATAATTAAAATAGAACAAAAACCCTTTTTTGGTCCCTCTGAATAACTTACTCTCACTAGCATATGTTTCATCAAGAGTAATTTCAATCATTTCACTATTAGGTGATTTTTTTTTTTTTTTTGGTTAGTATTAAGTGGAAATAGAAAGATATGTAGGTGATGTAAGGGTCTTTTGTCCCCTTCAAGGTAAGGGATCACTTGAACATACCTGATATGATTATCAAACACTACAGAAGTAGTAGCTTCAACACTAGTGATACTTTCCAAGTTCATTCAAAATACAAAATAAGTGAGCTTAAAGAAGCTATCTCATATGTAAAATGATATGGAAGACAAAGCACCAGGTATGTCTAATATAAAACAAGCATGTTATATCCGATCTAGCACTGGCTTTAGGAACCAGGCAGAGGAGATTAAGTACCCCTTTTGGAATGATAGTAGAAAAGTGCTGCTTGTGTGGTTCTGCTCCTAGTTTTTTTTGTGTATGTGTATCCTTCTTTATACTGATAGATTTTTGGCTTTTCCATCAGCTTGAAACATTTTCTTGTTACCCTTTCACACTGTCTATACCTAAGACAAAGAAATTCAACTATATTAAAACATGACTACGTTGATGGCTCTTTTCAGTAGATAGTTTCTGCTTATCTATTGCATCAGATAGTTTGGCCAAAGCAATCTGTTCCAGTGTTCCCGTGTTTAGCTTGTTAAAATATATCAGTTCTTTATACCCGGGGCCATGGAGCTAAGCCTAGAATTAGTCACATATTTATAAACATTACTCATCTGATTCAACAACAGTTATAGGAGTCACCTCTACCCCTCCCATGTCCTACCCTAGGTAAAACTTAAAACACCTATAACCAAATAACTCTTTAGATTTAAAAGTCAGGAAGTATAAAATGAACCTGAAGTTGACAAGTTGGGTATCCCTAAGTCTGTTGCATGTTGTCTGATTGAAATCCTATTGTTCATATAATTAACCTATAATGAGTTAAACCTATTAATGGCCTATCTGCTAAAGCCAGGTAAGTTCCAGGGACTTGAAACTTTCTCATTTATAATAATAATAAAATTATAGGGAAGAGAATGAGGAATGCTTAACACAGACTAACTAGACAACTAGTCTGAGAAGTGCTTTTTTTCCGAGGCCGCCTAAGAATGGACTCTAAAGTGTAAACAGTGAGAAATAATCAATATGGTTCAATATGACTGTGAATTGGGTGGTACCTGCTTGACCACTGAAAGGATCACACCTCACTTCTAAATACTGTTCATCTTTTTATTGAATATTCTGGTAAATATTTCACATTAATACAGGCTACATTAAGTAGAGCCGCTATACGACAAGAAATTTACTCAACTTTTTCCTTTTAAGTATGTAAACAATTGTACATGTATTTACCACCCTAAAAGGCTGAAACATGTAATCATCTAATTCTCTTCTGCATACAAGTAGCATTCAGTATGTTTAGCCAAAAGCACTAAGTTCAAAATGGCTAAACTAACCAGAGAACATAATCAGGTGGATAGGAAATCACACTGTTCTTAGACAATGGTCAATCAAATTTCCATTGCTAAAGCCTCAGAGAAAATTTCTTAGTTAGGCACATAAAAAAAAAAAAAAATCCCCAGGGTTCTTCCAAGGTCATAGGTTTCTCAAACAAGGCTAAGAGTAAAACCTTCTAACTTAGTTGACATATTTGAGATGCATGTTTCCAATATGAGGTGCCCACGTGCCAGGCCAAATCTGAAAAGGGGGAGGAAAAATTGGAATTTCTAATTAGGAATCTTTAACATTTACAAAATGAATATATAAATGCAATGGCAATTCACTGTTTCTGCCTAGGAAGAATATACATACAATGAAATAAAATGTTTAGTAGTAATCTTGATATTGAAAAATTTAACTCAGATCAAGTGGTCAGATGTCATGATTTAATATTCAGAACTTGTACTTCCCAAAGAATTAAAAGAATGATATGACAAATCTGAAAAACAAAGACCATTAAGTACATTTTACCTGTTGGGCATCAGTGCATTCTGTTGAATTCTGAATAACTTTTATCATAGGATTCCAAGCAGGATCTGGGTTGTGAAGTCCATTAAACAGAGGGCCTCCTGGAACATCAGCAAGCTGAGGATGAGAGGGTATTATGGTGCCTCCATACATGGAAATTGGTAGACCCTAAAACAGCAGAAAGGTTTAATAATGAAGTAATTATAAACGATTCCATATTGTCAGCTAGAGCTCTTTAATTTTCCTTCATTCAAAGAAATCCGGAGGATCCTGTAAGTACAACACTGTAAAGTGTTGAGAAATCGAAAGTGGCTATCTGCAAAAGGGAACATTCTCTTCAATGAGAGAAGGAAAACACAATTAAATCCAGTATCAAATTATCAGAAAAGTCCATAAATTTGATGAACACATATCGTTTATTCAACTTTCCTAATTTTAGTTTCACTAATAAGTTTGTGCTAAGAAGAAAAGGGGAATTCTGTGTAACTGCTTATGGCCATAATCTGATTTTACACCAGCCAAGAAGCTCTCAAAGCAAAGAAGAGGGCATTGGAGAGCTCACAGCTCTGTAGAAGGGCAGAGGCCTCCTTCAAAGCTCTGGCAACAAAGCACAAAGCAGCAAAACTCAAATCTCTCAGTTATTCTTGGAGGATGGGGCCATCTTCAGGGTAGCTGGAGGACAAAGTTTTGTGTACAATATCACAGCACTTTTGAAATTGGACAAATGATCTGGTAAAGTTGTTACACCAAAAGGGAAAAATATTTGTATATAAACTACTCAATATAATTATTCAATATAAATCATTCCTTAGTCACCAGTGTGACTACATTGGTTGGCAAAATGCTGGACAAGTTACAATGATGTTTGTCAACTCACTTTAGAAAAATCCACAAAACTGCTTGCCATAGGCTGATGGAAAATGTTAGAGGGGGCTACCATTCCAGAATCATCTCTCTCCATTGGTTGATGCTGGGAGAATGTGCTTGGGTCTGATAATTGTTGATGCATTGGATGGTTCCCTATTACAGACTGTGACCAACCCGATAAACCTTCTGGAAAGAAGAATGGAGAACAGAGTTTGATATTTTTTTTTGTATAAAATAACAGAACACTACCATTTTATCTTTTTTTATACTCAATTTTATCAAAATCATTGCACTGAAAAATTCAGAGCACAATCATGACAATCTCTGTAAATTAAAACACAAGTTCCTAGAAAATTGAATGAAGTAGTTTGAATTCCTCAAACATTTTACTTTGTCATTCAAAAGATTAAGCAGTTTCTAAAAGGATTCGTCCCCTTTGTACACTGCAAGGTTTGAGAAAAAGGAATGCCCTTTTATCTTTCGCGTCTAATCAACCCTATTTTTTAATATTATTATAAACTATTAATTATACTTTTCACATTATTATGTACACAATTAACATTCTAGGTTCTGAGACTGGATTCAATTCTTCAAAGGCATGAAATGCTTTTCACTGATTGTTAAGTGTAGGAACTTCACTTGTTTTGTCCTTTTCCCCACCCTCCATCCCATTTTAAGGAACTCTGTTTTAACAGCAAAATCCTACAGAGAAAGGGGACGGCAAGGGAACTGTACCTGACATAGCATTGACACCAAATGACCAGATTCCACTGTGTCCAACAGGAGCAACAAAACCGGTCCCCACAGGAGCTTGTGTGACAGACCCTCCTTGCCGAATCCGGGCTAGTCTCTCAGTTCCAATGGGAGGAGGTATCTTTCGATCCTGACTGGCACTGCCTCCTTTGGGTTGGCCCAATGTTGGTGGGGCAGAAGTGGCTGAAAGAGGTGAAGATGATCCCGAAGAAACAGATGGAATAGGAGAGTCACCTGGTGGCAAAATATTTCTCTATTGTTTTATTACATATAAAAATTATAAGAATATGAGAAACCTTGTTGGAAAGATATATTCCACAACATAGGTTCTGTAAAGAAAAATTTCATTTTATAAGATCATTCTGAAAATACATAATCTGTATAAACATTTTCTATACTATTTATGCCTACAATAAAATAAAAAAGTCTAAATTTTTCTCAGAATGAACTAAAGAAAGGAAGAAATGAACTAGAAAACAGGGCCATGCTGTTGTTATTCTAGTTCTAAATTTTCTCAAAACAGTTATCTTAATCTTCAATTAACTTAAATGTGGCAATATTTGCACAGTACCAAGTATGTTGTCTAGAAAATACTGGTGGCTTTCTATACTTAACTGTTTTTCTTTTCCTTTTCTTATAGCCCTTTTTCCCATAATGAAGGAAGGTTAAATATTAACAAAGCATCAAAGGATTCAATTAATGAATTTTATTTCTTAATAAAATTCTCAGGTAATATTGGGTAGCTCTCTTTGTCAACAGGGCCCATATTCACTGACTACCTCATGATAACTCCTTTAAAAAAAATTGAATCCTGGCCCTCCCTGGTGGCGCAGCAGGTTAAAGCACTGCACTGAGAAGCTAAAGCCACTTCCGCATGAGTTCGATTCCCGCCTGCCCCGGAGGTGACCACATGGCGTGGCAGACCTCTCCTGACCCGCCCGCTGCTCCCTTCAGCAGTGTACTTTGTTGATCTGCCTGTTCTGCTCCCCACTTTGTCTCTGGTGAAGCCTCTCGCCACCCCTGAGCCTCTGGCCTGTACCCCAGTTCGGTATGTACAAATAAAATCTTTAAAAAAAAAAAAATTGAATTCTATTCAAATCCTATTACAACTTCAACTGTTCTAAATACTGAAATAAATAGTAAGAACACAGGAATCTTTTTACTTACAAATAGCAATATAATTTCCTAAAATGCAAAATGAGAACTCAATCCTATCAATATGATCAGATCTTCTTTTCAGAATTAAGTAATTATTTCACAATTTGCTTCCAAAGGGTTCTTTTATAAACCTACTTGTAGTACTTCTTTTCTGGACCCAAGCCTTAACAGTAAATATTTATAGCTGTCTCAGAAGAGTAGCTTGACCCTTCTCAAATTTCCTTTCCTACGAATGATCAACAATTTTCAACATGAATGCAATACAAACCGTAGGTATCTGCATACCATTTAATTTACTAAATTATAACAGAGTTCCCTGAAACAAATAGTTAATAACTTATTCAAGATTCTGAAAGATTTCCTCCAGGATTCCTACATGAGTTTGAAGCACTTGTCCAAGGATGGGGAGAAAAATGTTGTCTGTTGAAACTGGGAGTCCCAACAGGAGCTGGCCCTTGCAGGAATACCCGAGTTCCTGGTATGCTGGAAAAACTTGTCAGAGGAGCAGAAGAGGAAGATGGGGAGCTGCCTGATGGGTCAATGGATGGTAACCCTGAAATAAAACAGGTCCAACATATCCAAATTAGCTAAGATGTTAAAGTTCAACATCCAAGGTTTACTTCATTCCTTTTTAAAAAGAAAGCATGCTACTTATTTTAGTATATCATAGCAAAATGAGCCCATTTACATCACATCCTATGTGAAACCCATTTTTCTTTCTTACAGTCAAGAAAAATATTAGCAAACAGCACTAGATATGAAAAAAACAAGCCCAATGTTCAAGAATGACAGTCAGTGGAGTAATGTTCAGGATAATCGCAAAGATTCACTGGGGTGGGAGGAAATGCCTGTTGGGACGAAATGGTACCCATTTGGTATCTTCTTGCTTTCCCTTATGTGGAAATTCTTAAATTGTCAAAACTGCTAACAAGCAGGACTTATTTATCCACTTAAAATATACAATTTAAAAGACATATTCATAGGGTTGTGCAACCATCGTCACAAACATTTTTGTCTTTCCTAAAAGAAATTTCCATTATCTGTCACTACCATCTTCCTTTACTCTGTATCCCTATCTTTAAGCAACCTCTAATATACTTTCTATCTTTACAGATTTGCCTATCTATTCTGGAAATTTCATACAAATGGAGTCATACAATATTCAGTGTTTTGCAATCTGCTTCTTTCACTTAGCACAAATCAACACTTCATTTTTATTTAGTGACAAATAATATATCGTTATATACATATATTTTACATTTATCAGTAGATGGACATTGGCTGTTTCTACTTTTTGGTCACTATGATTAAAGCTGCCACGAACATCTGTGTACCTAGGTAGAATTACTAATCATATAATAACTGTTTAACTTTTTGACTAGTTGTACCATTTTAAACTTCCACCAGTAGTGTTTGAGGGTTCCAAATTTCCTTTCCCATCTTAAATATCAGTATTTCTTACCGATAATCCAGAATAAACAATATCCACCAAAGAAGAGAAATCAAAAAACTAAACCAATTAAGAAGAGTGAGGTCAAATATATAAATAGATTCCAGCAGGAAGTTAAGGATTCATGCTTGCATTTACTGTTTTTCTTTGGTAGTAAATAATTTTGACATCACAGATTTGGATAATAAAGATTCCCAATTCTTGTTTCCTAATAAACTTAATTGATAATTTCCTTTACTTTTTTCTTTTTTCCAGAAATTCATAATTGCACATCTGATATGCAAAATGTGGAGTACAAAGAGCTTAAAACATTGGAACATGACAGATCTAAAGTCAAACTCTGCCTTTGGCAGTCTAAATTCACAAGTCAAGGATCAACATAGCCTGGGCTGTGGCAATGACTTTGATCGAGTTGTTCTTTCACCCTTGGGGCCTCTGAAAATCTTTACCAGTTTCCTTAAAATGGGAAGTTAAAATATTTTGAAAGAAGACATACATGTGGCCTACAGGCACATGAATAAAGCTCATTATCACTTGTTATCAGGAAAATGCAAATCAAAACTTCCAAGAAATACGACCTTGCACTCTGAGAGTGGCCCATACCAAAAAGACCAGAAAGGAGAAAAAAGAACCCTGTGTAGTTGGTAAGGAGGCACACTGGTCCAGCCCCTATGGAAAATAGTATGGAGGGTTCTCAAAATATTAAAAATAGATTATCATATGATCTAGCAATTCTACTACTGAAGAATGCAGGCACTAACTTAAAGGGATATACCCATCCATACATTTTTGTATTCACTGCAGCACTATTTACAATAGCAAAGTCAAGGAGCCAACCTAGGTGCCCAAAGACACAATAGGAACATGTGGTAATACATACAATGCAATATTACTAGGCTATAAACAAGACTCTGGCGTTTTCATTAATTTGGATGGCGGGGGCCTTATGGGCAAGTGGTTAAAGTGCAGCATTATAAAACTATCCTCAGCTACTGCAGCATGACTTTACTGGCCAGGGAGGTGACCTACACAGAGCAGCAGACCTCTCCTGTCTCACCTGCTTCTCCCCTCAGCAATGTATTTCTTTTTTCTTTTTTTTTTTAAAAAAGATTTATTTATTTTGCTTACAAAACTGGGCCAGAGGTGTGGTGGGTGAGAGGATTCACTAGAGACAGCGTGGGGTGCAGAACAGGCAGACTGACCAAGTACACTACTGAGCAGTGGGCGGATCAGGAGAGGTCTGTTATGGCATGTGGGTCAACCGCCTGGTGAGGGATCAAACTCATATTGCAGTGGCTTCAGAAAGCTTCACAATGCAGTGCTTTAACCCGCCACCAGGGAGAGCCTACTCTAGATCTTGTATGTGTAAATACAGCTTTTAAAAAACAACAACAAAACAAACATGGATGGAACTGGAGATTACACTAAGTAACATAAGTCAGAAGGAAAAAGACATACCAGATAGTGTATGTCACCATCTGGTGACTTAATTGTGAAATAGAGAGAAACAAAAGGTCAGATAAAACCAAGCCAGTAATAAACTTTAGAAATCTGACAAGAGTTGAGGCTACCAGAGTGGGAGGGGAGATACTTAATAGGGAGGGAATACATTGGATTATGGTGGATGTGGTGTAGTGAATGATATACATCTGGAGGCTATGTTATTATTTAAATCATATGCATTATTGTAACCACTGTTGCTTCCATAAAGGAAGTTATTTTAAGTAATTAAAAAAAAGATTTGGCACATATATAAAATGGAATACTCAGCTATTAAAAAAGATGAAATCTCACTATTTCTGACACTGGTGAACCAATCAGGAGAAAGATAGACACTGGATATTTTCACTCATATGTAGAATATAAAGAAATAGACAAAAACTAAGCTAAAACAACTCCTAGAAATCTGATGGCAGAATTTAGGCTGCCGGAGGAGGAGAAGGTGAGGGATGGGAAGCAAAGAGGAGAAACAGCATAATGGACTATGCCGGAGGATTATATGTGCTTTGATGGTGAACACAGATATGATAATCATACAGCTGAAACAGTGTGAATCCATACACCTAAATCACATAAGTGCTCTAAACCAAAATTACCTTATTAAAAATGTTAAAAACAAAAGTGGCGGGCCCTCCCTGGTGGCGCAGCGGGTTAAAGCCCAGCATTGAAAATCTAAAGCCGCTTCCGCATGAGTTCGATTCCCGCCTGCCCCGGAGGAGTCCACATGGCGCGGCAGACCTCTCCTGACCCGCCCGCTGCTCCCCTCAGCAGTGTACTTCGTCGATCTGCTTGTTCTGTTCCCTACTCTGTCTCTGGTGAAGCCTCTCACCGCCCCTGTACAGGCCTCTGGCCTGTACCCCAGTTCTGTATGCACAAATAAATAAATCTTAAAAAAAAAAAAAAACAAAAGTGGCAACAATTCATGTTTCTTACTATTCTAAGTCACAATTTATCATTTATTTTTCAGAATAGCACAAATTGAACTAGAATTCGGCCTTCCCTGGTGGTGCATGGGGTTAAAGGGCAGCATTATGAAACTATCCGCAGCCACTCAGCATAAGTTAGATCTCTGGCTGGGGAGGTGACCCACATGGTGCAGCACAGACCTCTTCTATCTTGCCCACTGTTCCCCTCAGCAGTGTATTTCAGTAAATCTGGGTGTGCTGTTACCCACTCTGTCGGTGGTGAATCCTCTCACCTCCTGTACTTCTGGCCTATCTCTGAGTTCTTGTATGCAAAAATAAATAAATCTTAAAAAATAATTGGGATCTTAGATCGATGGAAAATAGTTCTGGTTTTCAAAAATCTCTAAGCTAATACTGGCTCCATCTCTCTCATTTATTTGTTTATGCATGCAAGAACTGGAGTCTAGGTCAGAGGTCGGCGATGAGAGGATTCACCTATAATTTTGTGACTCACTTTTTAAATCTGAGAAATGCAAATCAATTACACTAATTCCAAGAAAATGAACCGACAAAGTGTAACTATCTTGCTACAAGAGACAGAATAATTACATAAAGAATATATAGCAGTTCATTATGTGTTTACCTGCAGCAACTTTTTGTTCACTTAGCAACAATCAACAAAGGGTCCTTCATATTTATGACACACTGTTATTTTTTTAAGATCATGCTATATACAAATAAATGCTTTATTATTACCTCAGAAGATTATTCTATTAGAGTCCCAAAATAAAATGTAGGCATAGATACAGAGCTTACCAGCATACAAATATAGTTTACATAACTTACCAACTGGGCTAGTAGAAACTCGCTGGGAAGGTGGTCTGAAGCCAGGTGCCTTGGAGTTGTCAGGGTGCACATTTTCCAAGTGTCCAAGTACAGAGTTACCCAGGAACGCTGACTGAACAGTGAAAGAGGCATCAGCAGCAACGCGAGAGGAGAGAGGGCCATCTCCCCAGCCCTGATTAGCTGGGACCTGACTGCTATCAAAAAGACTACTGAAGTGATTAAAAAGTGTGGCTGGGCCAAATGTAGGTGGCAAAGATTTATTTGCTGGATTAATGTGCATCTGAGAACCATTCATAATGTTCATGGCTGAAGAAAGCTGCACTGCAGCTGGTGGGCCTTGAGGTGGCGTTAATGGTACTGGATTTGTAACAAAAATAGACTGGGGATCCTGGTGTATAGTTGCATTTGGTACCACTGAATAAAAAGAACCTCTGGGCTGCATTCGATGAGACACTCGAGGTGCTGGTACAGCTAATTGAGGTAAATTATTGGTGTCCTGATTATCAGCAGCAACCAATCTGGGTGATGCCAAAGTCACCGGAGCAGGTTCTGAGTTAGATGAAAAAGGCATTGACATAGGACTTAAATCAGACACGCTGGATGGCTCTGTCTCCTCTTGTGTGTTATTGGAGGGAGGAGTGGGACTACCGGATGAATGAGTTTCTGGAGCTCCTGGGGTGTTGCTGGCAGAGTTACTGCAACTATTTGAAGTAGAAGATGGGGTACAAAGGTTTGCCATAGGCTGATCCTGTGTGGACACTTTCTCTTTGGGGGGTGGCATGGCAGAGAAAGACTCCATCTTTTGTGAAGAAAGTTGTGCTTGAGGTGTATTTGCAGGAAGAAACGTTGTAGGAACTTGCCCACTAGTGACAGGTGCAGAGGAGACTGAAGGCAGGGAAGTACAAGTGCTTGTCACAGAAGAGATCACTGTTGCTGGAGGACTTGTCTTAGGCACACAGGCAAACAACTGCTTTCTGACCGATGAAGGAGTCCGGGTATTAGTCACACACAGTTGCTGACTGGCAGCAACTACAGAAGAGACAGTGATAGGACAACTGGCAGTAGCTAGTCCAGCAGATTCTGAGGATAAAACAGTCCCATTCTGGTTAGGGAGACGGCATGTATTATTATGCTTTGGAGAGCTATTGGTGTTGCTGGGATTCACAGGTCTCACTGGAAATGGTCCCCAAGTGTTAGCAGAGGGAGAAAAGGTTCCTCCAAACTGAGCCATAGGTAAGCGAGGATGCCGTATCTGTTGCATAGTTTGCGCAGCCAGTAGGGCAAAATGAGGGTGGGGATAAGCTAAGGGTAGAGAGACTGGGAAAGAAGATCGTACATTTGTTGGAACATTCTTATTAAGTTTATTAGCAGGCTGGAACGTAGATAATGTTGTTGCCTGTGAAGTCACAAGAGTTGGAGCACCCAAGGGAAACGCATTTTTACTAGAAGCTGCTGTGGTGCCTACTCCAGATGAGAAATTTGCATGGATGGATTTGGTACTGGCAGGTGTTCTGATATGATTTTTAGGAATCAAGTCTTCCAGTTCCTTAGCTGGATCTTGAATAAGTGCATTGATAAGCTGAACTGCATATCTTGTTGATTCAGTACCACCCCTGTGGAAAAAAACCAAATGTAAACCAAAACAAAATCAAAACACAAAAAAATTCAGGTAATTTTAACCATCAAGTAGAATTCTTGATTGTATCATACTTAACAAAGTATGCTTCTAATAAAATTTCATTACCACACTGAACTAGGAATATACATTTTCTACAATTACCTGATTGTGATCATTCTCTCGCCATTCTTATCTTTTTGTTTATCCACATCAATATGGGCACCAGTAACATCTTGTATTGCAGTGATATTGCATCCTCCTCTTCCCATTATTCTGGAAACCACAGAAGCTGGAACAGACAACTTCTTTGACCTATAAAACGAAGACTACACATGAGCTTATGAAAGGATCTTTGAATAGTAAATGTCTTTATTAAATAGCACATCTCAGTAGTATGCTCATGGGGACCTGAAGAATATTTCTCAGACTTCAAAGAGGAAATTAGTAGATGTTTTTATCTTACAAACTGACCTCTTACATTAAATTTAATTTAGTTAGGGTAAAAAGTAATTGCTATTTAAAATAAAAATTATATTAAATCACTGATGATCTAAGCATTCAAATCTACTCAAGGGCCTCCCTGGTGGCCAAGGGTTTAAGTCTCAAAACTATGAAGGTATTGCCAATCAGTAAAGATTGAATTCAATCCCCAGCCTGGAGCTAACCCATGTGGTGCAACAGATCTCTCCTGTCTTGTCCACAGCTCTCCCAGTACTATCTTTCATTCAATCCACCTGTTTTGCTCCCTGCTCTGTCACTGCTGAATTCTCTCATACCCTTGTACCTCTGGCTTATACACCAGCTCCTATATGCATTAAAAAAAAAAAATCTTAAAAGAATAAACAAACCAAACCCCCCCCCCACCAATCTACCCAAAAGAGCACATTATCTAACTGTAATGTATTGACTTTCTCAATTAAAATTATGTACGAGTATGATTAAACTCCCTACTGTATAACAGAGTTAGCTTCTTAGTACCATCAACTTTACTCAGCAACAATAAAAAGCCTCACATTTAAGCTACATAAAACACAACTCACAAGAAGAGTGTGGCAATCTTTTTGTGAGTGAGGCAAATAAAGTCAGAGAGAAAGACAGGAGGTTAAGTCTTAGGATTTGACAAGGCAGCTAGGCTGCCCCACAGGTTTCTCAAGGAAAACAGTGTTTGTTGGCAGAGCCAGTTCTCAACATTAAAGCAGAACCAGATGAGAGCAACATCTATGACTTTCATGTGCTTCTTGTTGAACCCCAGGATTTCCCACTTTAAGGGAGGGACATTTAATCTGAAACTATTTCTTCCAAATGAATGCTCAATGGCAATCACTAAAGTATATCTCACAATTAAAATCTATCACCTTAATGTAGACAAGTTAGGAAGAATATATTTATCTGAAAGGATTCACCAGAGTCAGAGTGGGGAGCAGAACAGGTAGACTGAGGAAGTACACTGCTGAGGGGAGCAGCAGAAGAGACAGGAGAGGTCTGTTGCACCATGTGGATCACATCTGGGGACTGAACTCACACTGAAGTGGTCATGGCCAGCTTCGCAGTGCTGCACCCTAACCTGTTCTGCCACCAGGGAGGGTCCCAAATTTACGTTTTTCCTGCTGAAAAGTATGAGCAGAGGGTGAGAAACATTTGAAAGCAATGGGCCCACTTCTGCTTTTATTAATTTCTCCCCCTACAGTTTAAATAAAAAGCAGTAAATGAAGGTGACTGTCAGGAATATCTGTAGGGGTGTGGGTGGTTTTATTTTATTTTCTTAAGGAAGAAGCTAGTTTTATTAATTTTATGAGTTCTTTACTTTTTTTTTTAAAGATTTATTTATTTATTAATATGGAACTGGGGTACAAGCCAGAGATGTGGAGGGTAGGAGGATTCACCAGAGATAGCGAGGGGAGCAGAACAGGCAGATGGATGAAGTACACCGCTAAGGGGAGCGGCGGGCGGGTCAGGAGAGGTCTGCCGCACCATGTGGTCTCCTCCAGGGCAGGCAGGAATCGAACTCATGCGGAAGTGGCTTTAGCTTCTTAGTGCTGTGCTTTAACCCGCTGCACCACCAGGGAGGGCCCTCTTTACTCTTTTTATCTTGATCCAATTGCACTGGTTAAAATCATATACACTCTCCATGGGCCCTCACTGGTGGGAATGGATTAAAGCACAAAACTGAAAGCTAGTTGCAGCCAATTTAGTGCAAGTTTGATCCCTGGCCAGGGAGGTGACCCACATGGTGCAGCAGACCTTTCCTGTTTTCCCGGCTGCTCTCCTCAGCATTGTACTTTGTCAATATGCCGGTTGTGCTCCCTACTCTGTCTTTGGTGTATCCTCTCACTGCCCCTGCACCTCTGGCCTATATCCCAGTTCTGTATGCGCAAAAAAAAAAAAAAAGCACATGCTCTCCAGCCAATTATAGCTTTACTTAAAGCACTAGGTAGATAAAAAAGCTTGACTAATTGAACCAAAATGGGGCTATCAAATAAAAATCAGAGCCCTCACTAAAAAATTGTGTTTTTGGTGTTTAGTATAGAATCTGCCCTTGAGGAAGCTTAAGACCATTTTGTATGGCTTTTACAGAAACTTCTGTATATCTTGTTTTAATATTTTTTTAAATTCAAAAGCCAACATTTGTGTGTCATATAAATATGTACATAAAAATTTACACATTGTTTTAGGCTACTATGGGTTTAGTATGCCATTAAAATTTAAAGTAACATTCATATTCAAATTATTAATTGAACCTTCTTACAAAAGGAAAATAAATATATGAAAGGAATATATGAGACCCATAATTCTTACCTTCGTACAACTTCTTTCCATCCTTCTTCTCTTTTCTGTCCCCTTTTAGGGCTTGTCAAATTTAACTTCATGTTTGGAGAGCTTAATGGCAATGACACTGACTTGTAGCCAGCTGATAAAGAATTAGAATTCACTTCACCTTCAAGTCTGAAAAGAAATATGAATAAGTAAACATTAAATATAAATTTAAAGGCAGAAACTTGTGTCTATTATTACAGTTATGCCAAAATATTTTAATTAAAAGTTGATACAGTTAATAACCAAAGTTCAGAAAAATAGAAACAGGATAGAGTTCATCTATATTAGTATTAAAATGGATTCAAAAGTCAAAAGTTGGACTGACCATAATCAATAAGAGATCAAATCAAGGTATGCCAATATTTACAATTTCAAAATTTCTAGTATTATTTCTTAACAGACATGATCATAAGGACACAGGTGAATTTGACCTTTGAATACTAAGGACAGATAATATGGCAGACTTACAAATTGTTTTAATACATCTTGTGCTTACAGAATGTACTTCAAATTCTTGTGTTAGGCATGAAAAAGAAAAGGCGGATGCAGAGCCAACAAATCAGAAAAACTTACCGTGTTTGAGGTTTGTTGGTGGCAGTATTTGACTTTTCATCTTGGGAATGGAGTAGCAATGTAGAATATCTCTTATCACTAGAGGAATTCATATCCACAGTAAAATTTAACTCTTGGCTTTTACCACCACTACTACTCTCACTGTTGCAATCTGTGCTGTCCAGGTTATCTGAATCACTGTTTCCACCTGCACCACCACCTCTGGGTTCTCCATTTATTTTGTTTTTATCTGCTTTTTGCTGTGCTAAAGACATATGTTGTTCTGGTAATATTAAATGTGTAGTGGGTGGGGTCTCTTTTGTTTTGTTCTTCTTGTTTTTCCGATTGGTACTGGGGGTTGTCACCACATTGGCTCTTTTTTTCCCAAATACATTTGTGAAGGTTGCAGATGTTGCAGAGATTCCAATTGTGGTAGTGGTGGTTGCACTAGGAGGTTCTATAGGAACTTCTTGCTCCACTGAAATTACCAAAAAGGATAAAAATCACATTGTGAGTCACAGATCTTTAAAATCCTCAAAAGAAATATACAGAATATACCTAATGATTCACAACAATGCAATCCCTTAGGCCATACTTTCCTTTCCCTAGTATTCACTAGTAAATAAAGAACAAAACAATATACTACGCCATACTTGTTTAACTTGGCACAAACCATATATACCTATTTAAGACCAGGTGGTCTCATGAACTAACCAAAAATCACAATACAGTTCGCATTTAATAAACTTTTCAAATAATATTTAAAAATTAGAGGAAAAGGTATTTGCCTACTACATCACTGCTAGACGGTACAATAACAACAAAGAGTAATGAACCCCAGTTTTACATAGCTTCAAGCATGAACCTTGTATTAAAAGTTTGAGAAACTAGACTTCTCTCCATTTTTCAATTGGAGGAACAAAGAACAGGGAAGAACAAGAAAACTAGCTGGTAAAACCAGTCTTTTACTGCCTCAATTTAGGACATAAACAATGTTCTACAGTGTACTTTAAATTGTAATTAAAATTCGAATTACGTGTTTACCTTCCCCTTCTGTTTTCCTGTATCACTTTACACTGTAAAATATTTAGAAATACTATAAAAGTATTAATTTCATATTAAAGTAACAACTACAGATAATGGAAACAAGCAGCACGTTGATAAACACAAGAAAATTTATCACTAACTCAGGTCACTTCTTACCATCTTCATCATTCTCCTCTTCATCTTCATCTTCCGGTAGTTCTGAATTCTCCTTAGGTTTGTTTTCCTCATCTTCTTCCTGCTTCCTTTTCTGCTCCTCTTTTTTCTTTTTTCTCTTCTCTTTTCTTTTCTCTCTCTTAGCTGCAAGAGCCTGCTTTCTGCTCTCTTCTCTTGACTGCAAATATAGCAGGTATATCACTTACCAAAATGGAATAATTTAAAATAAAGGAGAAATAAGCTTATTTATGTTACATGAGGCGTCCCATGGATGTCAGCTTCAAATGACATTTATAAAAGCAACAAAAGAAAAACTAGATAAAGTGGACATCATCAAACTGCAAAGTTTTTGTGCTTCAAAGGAACCACTGAGAAAGTAAAGACAATTTGTAAGATGAGGGAAAATATGCAAATCATACATCTGGTGAAGCACTTATATTTAGAATATACAAAGAACTCTTGAAACTCAATCATGAAAAGACAAATAATTAAAAATGGGCTAAGGATGTGAATAGATTATTTATTCAAAGAACGTATATACATGGTCAATAAACACAGGAAGAACCCAATGCTCAATATCACATATCACTAGCCATTAGGAAAAGCAAATCAAAACCACTTTGAGATACCCATTTCACATCCTCTGGGATGGCTATAATGAAAGAAAAAGATAAAATAAGTATTGGTCAGGTGTGGAGAATTTGGACTTTCATATACTGATGGCAAAATGGTCTAGTCTTGGAAAACAAACTTGTCTTCCTCAAATGGTTAAATAATGAATAGCAGTTTCATTCACTGACATATCCCAAGGGGAATGAAAACATGACCCATTTAAAACACCTACATTTCTGAAGTGAAAACAACCTAACTGTCCAGATGAGTTAAAAAAACAATGTGATACATCTATAAAAAGATTGTTCAGCCAAGTTTTGAAAAGAAACAAAGTATTGATATTCTGCAACATAGATGAAAGCTGAAAACATTGTGAAGTTAAAAAAAAAAAACTAATCACATAATATCATTCATATAAGTGTGTGATTCTATTTATATGAAATGTCTAAAATAACCAAATCCATTGAGACAGAAAGTAGATTAGTGGTTACCCAGAATGGAGGGCTCAAACCTAAGGGGTATGAGGTTTCATTTTAGGATAATGAAAATGTTCTAAAATTGATTATGGTGATGGCTGTACAATTCTATGAATATAGTAAAAGCCATTGAGTTATACACAGTAAATGGGTGAAATGTACAGTATCTGAATTAAATCTTAGTAAAGTTGGTAAAAATACATTTATAAGCTATCTATATGAATAAAATGCAGTTCTTATGATTCTTATAATACAAATTTCACTGTAAGAATACTGACAAGAGGCTATTATACAAATTTTCCCCCATGGTACAATTCTAAGAGTCACATTCATGATTCTCACTATCTTGAAATTCTACTAACATTTGCTTTGGTTAGTACTAGAAAGTGTAAATTGTTTCAGAAAGGAGGTCATAATAATATTACTAGTTGTCTAGCAACACCATGAAAATTGTAAACAAGTAGAAAACATATCAAGGTACTCCTTATTCTATGGGAATTATCCAAACAGGCTCATCATTGAATTTGTCCATGCAGTTCAGCCCTTTTAAAAATCAAGCAAAGTATTTTCCTTAAAACTGTAATTTCCCAGGCCCTCCCTAGTGGCACAACGGGTTAAAGCACAGCACCGTGAAACTATCGTAGCCACTGTGGCTCAAATTTGATCCCTCACCAGGGAGCTGACCCACATGGCACGGCAGACCTCTCCTGACCTATCTGCTACTTCCCTCAAAAGTGTCTTTCAGTGCCTGTTCTGCTCTCTACTCTGGCTGTGGTGAATCCCCAAACCCCCATACCTCTGGCCTGTTCCCCAGTTCTGCATGCATAAATAAATAAATCTTAAAAACAAACAAACAAATAAAAAACTGTAATTTCCCATTCTGGAGGTAAATTGATTATCCTTTGGAATTTTTAATTATCTAAACTGGAGAAGAGCAAGTTATAGTCTGAATGCCAAATGCAGTCACCTGCCTTATATTTGTATGACTCTAAAGCTAAGATTGGCTTTTGTGTCCTAAATGGTGAGAAAAAAAGATGACCTCTTTGACACATGAAAATTATAGAATTTCAAATTTTAGTGTTCATAAATCAAGTCCTATTGGAACACACTCACATTTCTCCGCAACTGGTTTGTACTATAACAGCTGAGACAAACAGTTATGATAGAGGCCATATGGTCTGTAAAGGATATTAACTATTAGGCAACTGATAGAAAAATCTATGGACTAAAAGAAGAGTTTGCATATACAGCTAAAACTCATTTCATCGCTACTGGAGTGAAAGCACACCAGCTATTTAGGGAATTTCTGACCACAACCCTGCTGCAATAGACAAAAATAAAAACTACAGCCAAGGGAAGGGGCCTCAGTAGTCAGTTAGCTTTAAACATCACTTTACTTTGAAGTGAATATTAATTTTTCCTCTATGATTTTAACTGAAATCAAGCTTATCATGGAGGTATTAAAACTTACTTAATAATCTAATGATAAGCTTTAAGACTTCTACTATTCCTTTTGTATCATGAATAAGGCAACAATGAATGTCTTTATATATTCCCATCTTTCAGCAGTTGTCTAAATATTTACCTTAGGTTAAACATCTATAAATGAATGACTGGACTAAGGGTACACTGCTTTTTTGTCATTGTTATTTGTCAATTGGTCTTAGTAGTTACACTAATTTAGGTCATACACCAAAAAGTGTATACTCGCGTAAATAATTTCTTCACATCCTTGCCATCAGTAGCAATCACCAAACTTTTATTTTAAATTTTGCCAACCTGGTCAAAAATTGTAATCATTCTTACTATTCATAAAATTGAGGACTCTTCATCTATTTACTATTTTCCCCCTTTTTGTTTCCTACCACCATCGTTTATAGTCTTGACTATTCTACCCTTCTGATACCTCTTAGCCTCAGAAACTTCTGTTTATTAATATCTGCTAGATTTTAATAAGTGTTTCATGTTGTTGAATTGTCTAACATATAGATGTTCAAAATTTTCATTCTAATTTCTTTACTACACACAATTCTCTTGAACTATTTTAATTTCGCTGTTAACTGGCAGCATTTCTTTTTCCTTATGGCTGAATGGTGTTCCTTTATGTGGCTCTTCTTGATCCAATTTTCTATTGAGCATTTAACTTGTTCCATGTTTGAGCTATAGTAAATAGTGCTGCAACAAACACTGTAGAGTGTATAGGTTCTTAATGATATTTTTATTTATTTATGCATATAAGATCTGGGGTATAGGACAGAGGTGTGTGAGTATGGAGTGAGAGGATTCACCAGAGACAGAGTGGGGAGCAGAACAGGCATATCTACTGCAATAACACTGCAGAGGGGAGCAGTGGGCAAGCAGAAAAGGTCTCCTGTGCCATGTGGGTTAGTTCCCTGGTCGGGAATCAAACTCATACCACAGTGGCTGGGGATAGCTTGCTAGTGCTGAGTTTTTAACCCTGTGCCATCTGGGAGGCCCCAGATTTCCAATGTTTTAGTAAATTTCTTCTTAGACTAATATTAAAACCATGTAGAGAGTAGTACTATTTCATAAACTGTAATTTACTTGGAAATAAATTCTTCACTTACATGGTTTAAAATATTTGAGGTGAGGCCTTCCCTGGTGGCGCAGTGGGTTAAAGCACTGCACTAAGAAGCTTAAGCCACTTCCTCATGAGTTCGATCCCCGCCTGCCCCGGAGGTGACCACATGGCGTGGCAGACCTCTCCTGACCCGCCCGCTGCTGCCCTCAGCAGTGTACTTGGTCAATCTGCCTGTTTTGCTCCCCACTCTGTCCCTAGTGAATCCTCTCACCCTCTGCATCTCTGGCCTATACCCAGTTCTGTATGAATAAATAAATCTTAAAAAAAAAATTGAGGTGAAAATAAAAAATTGATAGTGGGTTGGCAATCTATTAGTCATTTCTGTTTGAAAGAGATTTTGTTAAGATTATTGATCATATGTTGTTGATTTATATTAGCAGATTTTCAACAACTTCTCGAAAGGAAATTTATTTTTCCCACTCACCTTTTCCAGGTCAAGTTCCTTTAAAAGAATACTTGCATTCTTATTTGCTTCTGCAGCCTGTTGGTCTTTAGCTTTCACAATTGTCTCAACACACTGGTGACATTTTTTCAACAGTTCCTACAGTAGAAAATGGGATTACATGAAAATAGGAAAACCCTATACTCACAGGCCAATAAAACACAACAACAACAAAAACCAAAACAAACTAGCCCCGAACTTAAGCTGATGGGCATAATAAATTTAAGGAATTAAAGTTTAAACAACTGAAAATTCCCTAAATCAGATAAAGCTACCCTGTAAGTCTTAGTTATTCAGTCTTTCATCAAAATAAGGTACCTTTTCCCAAAAAGTTAACGTGTTCTTGAAAAACTTTCTAAGCAAGCTAATAATCAAATAACAAACTTTAGCTTCAGTCACTATAATTACAGTATAGTAACAAAGGGCATCTCAAAATAACTTATCAAAAGAATTATACCCATTCTTGACTTACAAATGGAAAAACTAAAACAGAAAGATCACGTCATCAGTCTGAGAGAACAAAAAGAACAAGTTGTTAACTGCACACACCAACAATTCCACAAATAACAAAAATGTGCTTCAAGAGCATATTAAACCTACCTTATCTGTAATTGTTGCTATGTATCTCATGCATTCTATATCAGAAGGGAACTGATTGACTTCTTTCACCAAATATTGAACAACTTTTACATGACCCTATAAAGAGTACAACAAAAAATATAAAAGATTCTCTTAAATATTACCCATATATTTACACTTAATAATAAAAGGAATTCTATTACTTCCAGATCACTTACTAACTTACAAATCAAATTAGAAAATAGTGTTAATAAACTGAAATAGGTAAATAGATCATCCTCAGGAATATATGGTAGATCAAAAGATATTTTTTTAATTTAGCCTGCCCTAAAAGTAACAAAACTTTATAGAAAAATATAAAAAAAATTTATTAATAAAATAAAATTTGAGGTATGAAATTAAATCTAAAAGAGAAATTAGTTGTGAAACAAGGAGTATGTTCCAGATTGCAAAAAATTGTTTAGAAAGGAATAGCCTCTTTTATTATGATGGTTACATTATTTGCTGTTCCTGTGTTTATTTTTAATTAAATTAATTAATTTATCTATTTACTTTGTTGTTCATTTTAAAACAATGTTTCCTTCCCCCCCCAACCCCCACCCTAATACCCCCATCACCATTACCCATCACCACAGTCTCCGGCACTCCTCACTCCCTCCTTCTTAGTACTCTCTCTCCCCTTCCTGTGCAGGGTATCTCTGGTTTGTAATTGCTCGTTTTTGTTTTGTTATTATTTTTTCCCCCTGTCTTATTTGGTTCACCTATATTCCTCCTATAAGTGAAATCATCCAGTATATTTTTTTTCCCTTCTGACTTATTCCACTGAGCATGATCCTTTCTAGCTCTATCTATGCTGCTGTAAATGGCATAAATAGAACATGCTTTAAAAAATATTTATTTCCTTATTTATTCATACAGAACTGGGTACAGGCAAGAGGTGCAGGGGCAGTGAAAGTATTCACCAGAGACACAGTCAGGAACAGAACAGGCAGATCAACGAAGTACACTGCTGAGGGAACAGCAGGCGCGACAGGAGAGGTCTGCTGAACTATGTGGATCACCTCCGGGGCGGGGATTGAACTTGCACTGAAATTGCTGTGGCTAGCTTTCAGTGCTGTGTCCTAAGCCATTAAGCCACCAGGGAGGGCCCATAAGTAGAACGCTTTCGAAATATCATTATCAAAGACTAAAGATCTGTGATCACTCTAAGTATAACTAGTTTAACATTAACTAAACTTGTACAGCTTCCACACACCCCCAAAACCCCATTAAGGTTCTAAAACATCTTTAAGAATAAGACTGATGGTGACAAAAATCAGAAAAGCAGTTGCTTCTGGGGCAGAAATTTTGGAATGAGTATGATGGAACTATTTAGGCTTATAGAAGTATTTTATAACTATATGGGGCTTGGGTTACATGACTATGCATTTACCAAGACTAATTAAGGTTTTCACCTTAGGTCTTTACACATCACTATAAGTTATCTCTCAATTAAAAGTAAAGAAAAACATTTGGAAGGAATTAAGTCTAGAAAAAAAATATTTTTTTAAAGATTTATTTATTTATACATACAGAACTGGGATACAGGCCAGAGGTTCAGGGGTGGCGAGAGGCTTCACCAGAGACAGAGTGGGGAGCAGAACAGGCAGATTGAGGAAGTACACTGCTGAGGGGAGCAGTGGGCGGGTCAGGAGAGATCTGCCATGCCATGTGGTCACCTCCAGGGCAGGCAGGAATTGAACTCATGTGGACCTGGCTTTAGCTTCTCAGTGCTGTGCTTTAACCCGCTGCGCCACCAGGGAGGGCCTATTTTTTTTTTTTTAAGAGACACATAAACTGTCTTCATTTAATAGCTTTTAGTGATCACCTAGCACGTATCAAGTACTGTACCCATTGTACAGCTGTATAAAAGAATGGTAGAAAAGAATCATAAATTTGGCCTTTATAAACTTCCCAATCTATATATCCATATGCAGGTTAATAAATTTGAATAGAAGAGTGCATTTATTTTTGTTCTTCCTTAGATAGACATCCATCCATGTTATCTGCACTTACATCAATGTTTAACTGACAACATAACAAAACTAGTCAATATATGACTATACTGAACTACCACATAAATATTATATTTGGCCACAAAAAGAATGGAAAGATAACAGTGATCTGTACATGGAAATAGTCCATACCCCAAGATCAATTTAACTTTTCCCATGTAATTTAAAGTAATTAAATTTTATCTTTTCTTCCAATATCAAATTACCTTTCGAAATGCTGACATAAGAGGTGTAATTTTTCGATTATCTGCTGCATCCACATCAGCACCTGCTTGCACTAGCAACTGCACCACATCGAAATGACCGCCATTGGATGCCAACCAAAGTGGTGTGTTTCCCTTCTTATTACGAACATCAATATGAGCTCCCCTATAAATCAAAGAATGTTAATATAGTATGTTTCCTATGATAAGGCTAACATTTCTACTTTTCTCTACTGTCTTTTATTTTTTACAAAGCAGCTTGCCAATAGTTGTTCTTTTAAAAAGGTCAATAAAGTAAAAACAATTTTAATAACTTTAAAGGGATCATAGCAAGTTGTATACAGAATATATATATTACTCACCTATTAATCAGGAGCTCACAAAATTTGTAGTGACCTTTGTCTGCTGCTATTGTTAAAGCAGTATCTCTTGAGGAAGGCACAGGAGGTGCATTAACATCTGCTCCTTTATCAAGGAGAACTCTTCCAACCTCTGCATATCCTCCAGATGCAGCTTCCATCAAAGGGGTAAGACCAGTCTGTTTAAAACACAAAAGTATTATAATACATTAATATATTTTCTTTAAAAAGAAAGTGACTTATATAAGTGAACTCTATTCTGATTTTTCTCTAAGACCTAAGTAATATTCATTGTCTTGAAATACACTAAATAGAAGTGAAAATTGTAAGGTTAAATTAGACAAGCTAGAGTAAATTCACTTATCTTAAAATACTAACTGCCACAAGTAAAAAAAAAAATTACTAACTTCTATATGGTTATAAATTTACATGAGACTAACCTCTGTTCAATGAAAGAAATGTTTTAAAATTAATTCAAAGAAAATTAAGTGGTATAGTGTCTAATGTGCAAACTGCTGAGAATACACTCTGAAAACAGAATGCTAAGAACTCAGAATAAATTGTTTAAATTTTACTCACTTGCATACATAGATTAAAATACCACTTCATAGATTTTATTTATCTGTGTTTTTTCAAACATTTATTTATTTGTGCATACAGAAATGGGGTACAGGCCAGAGGTGTGGTGGGTGAGAAGATTTACCAGAGACACAGTGGGGAGCAGAACAGGCAGATAACCAAGTACACTGCTGAAGGAAGCAGTGGGCGGGTCAGAGAGGTCTGCCAGGGCATGTGGGTCAGCTGCCTGGTGGGGGATTGAACTTGTGCTGCAGTGGCTACAGTGAGCTTCATAATGCTGTGCTTTAACGTGTTGTGCCACCAGGGAGGGCCCTTTATCTGTGTATTTTGCTCATGAGTCACCAATATTTTTGCCACAAGGTATCTTCTACTGGTATCATTTCCAAAACAATAATACAAAAAGGAAAACTTGAAGGAAAAATGAGTTAAGGCTCATTTCTCCATGCAATAAAAAGTATGCAGGGAAATTGCACTTTCTAATTGCTTAATTAGAAACATAAATGTTGCTTTACATTTTAAGAAATAACACAAATGAAGTTTATGAGAAAATGTGAGATTTCATTTAAACCTTTTCAATTTATACTACCCCAGATTGGCCAGTGATTATAAAGAATTCTATGTAAACTACTTATTACAAGGGCTCTAAAGACCTCACAAGTAATATGAAACACTGTATGACAAAAATATCCATAAACTTTGTCAAATGCTTTCTCAGCATTTATTGATATGATCATATGGCTTTTATTTTTCTTTTTGATATGTTTATTACATTAATTGATTTTTGGATACTGAACCAAAAATCAACCCCATTTGGTCGTGAAATTGTATCTTTCAAAGTCAGATTTGATTTTAGTTGTCTTAATTTTATAATCAAAACAGTATTTTTTTTTAATGTTTTATTATTTGTGTTGAACTGGGGTGTGGGCCAGATGTACGGCGGTGGGGAATGGTGAGAGGATTCATCAGAGACATACTGGGGAACAGAACAGGCAGATTGTCTGAAATACACTGCTGAGGGGAGCAGAGGGCAAGACAGGAGAGATCTGCTGCATCATATATGGGTTAGCTCCCTGACAGGGTCAGACTGAACTCAGGCCACAGAGGTAATGCTGAGATTTCAACCCTAGGACACCTGGAAGGCCCACAGCACAACTTTTCTGACTGGGGGCTTTTTAAAAAAACAATGATAAGCACATATCTCATTAAATTAAAAATTTTTTATATTAAAGAACTCTATAAAATTGCAAACTGGGGGAAAGAGCCACTCACTGCTGAGGTTGGAAAAAAAATACTTATTCTTTTTTCTTCATTGTCTCTAATAAGTATCATGATCATAATAGTGTATCACTGACCCTATGCAGTAGTACAATTCCCCAGTCAGGGGGCATCAGTTTTAACTCACAGATAATTTGAAATAACATATTTCATTTGCTTTAAAGTGCCATGTTCTTTCCACTAGAAATGTATCTGAAGTAATTGATAAGTTATAAAATTCTTACCTTTGCTCTATGTTCAACATTGGCTTTTCGGTCCAGAAGCAAACTCACTACTTCTGCTCGGCCCTGGAAACAAGCCAAGGTGAGAGCTGTGTTCCGGTTGGTCTCTATCTGGGCATTAATGTCTGAACCCATATCAAGTAGCAGTTTCACTGCAGGAACATGTCCATTCATTGCAGCCAACATCAAGGGAGAAATACCTAATTTACTCCCAGTCCTAAGGGGGATGGGAGAGGAGAATGTGCTTTAGTAAATTAAAATCGTATGTTGTCTAGTGTTTTCTAAAAAGCACAGATAATATTAAAGATGAAAATACTTGGTCAAAAGGGTTGACACTAGTGAGTAGATTTCATTTATTTATACTAACAATAACAAACAGGAAAAACCTATCAATTTAAAACATAACCCCTATTTTTCTTTTTTAATTTTTTTTTAAAGATTTATTTATTTGTACATACAGAACCGGGGTACAGGCTAGAGGCTCAGGGGCGGTGAGAGGCTTCACCAGAGACAGAGTGGGGAGCAGAACAGGCAGATCGACGAAGCACACTGCTGAGGGGAGCAGCGGGTGGGTCAGGAGAGGTCTGCCACACCATGTGGTCACCTCCGGGGCAGGCGGGAATCGAACTCATGCGGAAGTGGCTTTAGCTTCTCAGTGCAGTGCTTTAACCCGCTGCGCCACCAGGGAGGGCCCATAACCCCTATTTTATAAATTTCCAACCAACCTGACAAAGCATTTTATGAAATACCTCTTCAAAAAGTCATCTTAATAAACTTGTAAGTTACAATTGTTTATAAGCACACTATAGGAATAGTAATTGGAAACTGTTGGAACTTAGAAATTAAACACTGTCTTAGTTAAAAGTTTGATTTGTCCAAGTCATATAGGAAAAGATTTAACTTCAAGGAATAATTACTAATTACAAGTAATTAAAAGGACAGATGATAGATACCTTGAATTAATTTCTGCCCCAGCATTAAGCAGAATCTTAATGATATTAACATATCCTCCAGACGCAGCTAGACTCAGTGGTGTATAATCAGATACATTCCTGTGTTCTTTATTTGCACCTCGAGCCAGCAGCAAGTCTACCACCTACAAAATAAAATATGGACAGAGAAAGCCAGCTTTTATCATGGGCTGAACTGACAATGAGGGAAGCACAAAAAAAAGGACTTAAAATTTCCTTGGCTAAATATCTAACATTTTAAGTAGGTCTTATTATACAATACAACAGTAGAAAACTGGATTCCATTTTCTATCTAGGAATTTGAAGCTCTGAAATCCCAATTATATTGAAATAACACGATGTTACTCTTCTGTTTTATCAACTGCTAAGTCATAACTGGTATTTTATGTGTTAGTATATTTGTTTCAATCAGCCCAATGAAAGTCTAAGGACTATTCTTATTTTGCCTAAAGGGAAAGAAATAAATTGCTTATAAGGGCACTTAATATTCCCATTAAAGTTAATACATGTAATAGATCGAAACATATTAAGTTTTATTCATGTTGCTAAATTACAAAGCATATGCATATTAAAAATACATGCAAAATGACTAAAAAATGAACATTAATATTAACACACCTCCTGTCGTCCACCAGAACATGCCAATGAAAGTGGAGTATCTTTAGTTCGTTCAGATTGTGCTTCTATATCTCCACCTTTATCTAAAAGGATTTCAACAACTCCAACATGCCCTGCTGTTGCAGCCAGGATCAGTGGTGTAAAACCTAAAGCAGACAATAAAAAATCTCATAAAAATTTTCTTTACTAAGTGACTGTTTTCAATTCTCTATTAGGAAAAAATAAAAGTTTTGGGAGCAGATATTATAACCATTTAGCATAAAACTTCTCTAAGCTTTCTTTTGATACAAAAAGATATGCCAAGTCAACAAAACTATTATTTTTACAAAGATTTTATTTATTCTTGCATACAAGAACTGGGGTGTAGGCCAGAGTTGCAGGGAGAGGATTCACCATAGACAAAGTGGGAAGCAAAGTGGGTGATTTATTGAAATACTTAGCTAAGGGGAGCAGAGGGCAGATGAGACAAGAGAGGTCTGCTGTGCCATATGTCAGTTAGTTCCTGGCCAGGGATCAAAGTCAGGCTGCTGAGGTGATAGCACTAAGACTTAACCCCTAGGCCACCCAGGAGAGATCCCAAAGTCAACAAAATTATAATGTTTATACTAATAATGAACTTAAGACACCCTGCATACTCTTCCTTTGGACTTAGGAGAAAGACAATTCCAACTTGCTATATACTTCATGGATGATTTAAATCCAATTTTTCAAGCAATTTGGCTCTATTTAAACAAATTTTGATATTCCCAATTGAAGTATGTTTATCCATTTTTTCAGTGAGGCCGTCTAAGAACTACTTAGGATAGTGAAATCAACAGGGAGAAAATGAATTTGTCCACATAACCATACTCAGATTTTATTCTGATTTATCTTACCTTTTTTGTCTCTGTGCTCAATTTTAGCATCTCGTGCAATGAGTACAGATACAAGTTCTTCATGACCACCCGCACAAGCTAGTGTTAAAGCTGTGTCATGATTGCTTTCAGTCTGGGCAAAGGAAAGAAGAAAAAAATTTGGGAGAGGGGCGTGCGATTGTTTATAACAGAATTATCAAAAAGCAAAAAACACTTATTTTCATAATGAATCTACAATAATTTTCTTTTCCAAATAAAAAAAGCAGAATGTAAAAACTAAATTTAAATAAAGGAATAAACTCACATGTGCATCGATGTCAACTGAAGGGTACACAGGGGGCATAGCCTGGGGAGTCACAATGCTTGGAGACTGTGAGCAGGGTTCAGGTGTAAGACATTCTGTAGTCTGAGAGGAACTGTTTGAACCAGTGGGCACTCTGCTACTCACAGCTGAAAAACAATATTCATACTGCTGAATTCTGCTTAAAAGAATAAAGCCACAGAAAAACACAGAAAATAGAAAATTCTATAAGCAATAATATAGTCATTAAATCACAAATTTTGGACTCAGATTGACCTATTAATTCCTAGTTTAATTACCAGTTTTCCACTGATTTTCTGATCTTCAGGAAGTAATTTAATCTCTCTGAGCCTTAGTTTTCTTAAATGTAAAATGAGTGCCTGCCTTGAAAGGTTTGGGAAAGACTGCTTGCGATAATGCAGGTAAAATACTTAGTATGGTACCAGTCGACAATACAACAAATGGCAGTCTTTTACATTGTTAATAGGGAGAAAATAGTTTCCAATGAAAAAGTACAATTTTGTAAAAGAAAATTAGACAAAAATATCCTGAGAAAAATAAAAAAAAGGGGGGGGGAACAAGTAACAAGTTAGACTATTATCTATGTAGCAGAGAAAATTAAAAATTCTCAAATAGTTTTGAAAATTCAGTATTCAATTTGAAAATCTGCTAAAATAATCAATGTCTAAAAACCTAACAATTTAAAAAATGAGTACTGGGACTTTTATTTATTATCTCAAAACTTGGTGTTTGAAAGTGAATAAACTGAAATTACATCTTTATGTTTCTATATATTTCCATGTTTCATGAGAGAGAGAGTTGGCTCGGTAGAGTGGGAAATAGGACCTATCTTAGAGGGATGTTGTTTGTTGTCCATGAAAAAATGTGTATAATGAAATTTAATAGTGTTTGGCACACAGTAAGTGCCAAACTATTTTCCACAGTATGGAAAAATAAAACACTACTCACTAAACAAAGAAACATTTCAGAAAAAAAGAAAAACAGATAATATAGAAAAGAGAACAAAATTTCAGCCATGGCAATAACCTATTACTCAAATCAATCAAGACACACATGTCATAAGGGAGAATGTAGTCGTTTCAAGGACTGGAGAAAGTTTTCTCTCTAAAATTTCGATATGATTGGATCCCAATCAAAGATATTGTATATAAGTGTAAAAGACTAAGTTTATTATAGTACCCTTCTTAAATAACTTAGCAAATTTTAAGATGATAGATATATTTCACAGTGAGGTGCTCTTCTTTCCACATATATATATATGTAGTATATATATATATATACATACATACATACATACATACATATATATGATTGTCTTAACAATATGAATTTCTGCAGCTTCTGTCACCACAAAATACATATATAATTTGACTATTGGGTTAACAAGTAGGAATGATTATTATACATATTTGTATCACTTATAAAAACATGTACAATGGAAATAAAATTTGTCATTCAATGAATTAAAGGCAGTAGTTTGTTATACATTCTCAAAATATTGATGTTTGGAAAACAGCTCTACAAAACAGACACTAGAAATTGAGATATATTACTATGTTACAGCAAGATTTTAACAGTGGTGCTATAATTATGTTAACATACACCTTACCAAAGCTCTACTTTTCTGTATACTATAAATTTTGTTCATGTTATCTTCCTGTTTCTATGAAAAACAGACTTTTAACATTTATTAAATAGTTGAATCAGAGTTCGAGGCCAGAATGCGATATTATAAGAGACTTTACAGAGTAGGTTTTAAAAAATCTTTTAACAGGTCTATTATCAAAAACATGATGTTACATCAGCTATTGTATACTTCTGTACATGACTCTCAGAAACATTCCATAGAAGGGACTTTCATAGGAATAATCACATATGATGAGTTATACAGACAAAACTAGAAAATGGCAAAGGCTTTAAAAAATGTGTCATAAAACTGTTATTCAGATAAAATTGTACCAGGATTGAGACATTTTCATAAATTCTAAAACATATCATTCCTCTGAAGGAAATGTCTTTAAAAATGACTAAGATCACTATCACAAAAGTTACCATATAATTCAAATTAAATTTATACACTATCCTAAAATGGGATGATAGAAAAATTAAATATGCTACTTAAATCTTTATGATATATGGGGTAACACTGTGGGCTCTCTATATAAGATACTAAGACTGACTATATAAAAATCTCAGACTGCAGGTTTATATAAACGATGTGTAGATTTTAAGAAAATAATCACTATGTTTCATATTAACTTATTAAAATTATTTAAACATAGTTTATTGTAAATTTCCTAAAAAATAAAAGGCTATCTTTTTCTTCTTAATTCTATCTTGACTACACAGGATTATTTAAATCAATATACTTTTAATTAGAGTTTGTTTTATGAGTTTACTAGGAATCCAATCACAGTAACATGGTGGAATCCACATATTAAATCTTACATGACATAAAATTTTAGTATAAAGGAAATTTTAATGTAATAAAATATAAGGAAATATTATCTTTAAGAAAAATTCAGAACTTCAATTTAAATCAGGTGTATGTATATTACATCTAAAGTTCTTAAGCGTGTCTGGAATGAGTATGAATCTTGGAATTTAATAGCAACTTAATTTTCCACATTTTCCAACAGAAAAACAGAGGTGGGGAAAGGGCCTACTTTACAGAAAGGATTATTGTAAACAGCTTATGAGATAATGTATACAAAATATTTAGTACAAAGTGTGGTATTGATTAATGATTAATAAATGTAAATAAATTAGTTGATTTTTAATCTTTATATGTTAAGCCTTTATATGAAAGGTTTCTAGATGTTTCTAAAACTGCTAAATGATCAAAACTATTTTGAATTTCACTACATTGTTTTAAATTTCCAGTCATTTGAACTGAGAATCTACTAGTATGATAGTATCTAAAATTCCAACATATGCTTTAAGAAGAATAGGACCCAAAGAGCCATGCTCCCGATCAAGACTTTATGTACATATTGTCCGGAACTATATCAAGGATAACACACGTTAGATTATATTTAAAGGTTGAATTAAATAAGTCAGCTAATTATAGTACAGCATTAGTAAATTACATATACAACTAATTTAACATGGTTTTCAGAGTAGGACAGCAATAAAGTATTCCTATAAAGAGTAAAATTTATTGCTACTTATATGGGTAATTTCTAAAGTAATACTTTAGGACATATAGTATTCTCTAGCTTATTAAATATGAGGGTGAGAACTGAATTTTGTTCAAGTTGAATTAATTATTACATCTTCGGCTTGAGCTGAAATATGACTGATAGGTTAATATATTGACACAGAATGAGGTAATCACCTAGTTCATCCTACTCTAATTTCTTTCACCTTCAACTAAGAAAATTAAGAGAAACTTGAACTTAATAAAAATAACATTTTAAAGCACTGAGACATGCCATCATTTGTAACAAGGAAAATCTAATTAGCCTATCCATTTTAAGATAAACTTCATAAAATAAAAATTTTTATATGAAGATCAATTTTGCATTTATTGTCAGATTTGCAAGTTAAAGCTATTAATAAAAGAATATTATACAATATGGTATGCCATCAATTAGATATTAATGTCTAACACAAATTAAATTTATGGTAACATTATATAAATTAAGATATTTTCTAAAACAATTTTTGAAATTACATGCAAGCTCTATCAAAGATCATTTCAATTTAACAAATACTAAGGTGAAATAATAAACAAAATTTGACCTCCCTTATTAAGAACCATTGTAAATATTATTACCATAAATACCACAAATTCCTTAAAATTTTTTTGTAGATTCTTAAAAGGAAAAAAAAAACACTTCCTAAATTACAATGAAACAAAGGCTTTATAGCTGGAAAATGAGAATTTAATTAGGAACATTCTAATGCTAGCTATAGAACTCAAGGTCTTAAAAAGTAATACTCTTAGGTCTCCAATTTCATCATTATCTGCTTTTACCCAGATTTTTATTTTTTTAGAAATGAGAACTATCAATGAATCATGAGTTAATTCGAGTTAACTTGTTGTAGGCTGAAGATTTAAAACCCCCAAATTAAAAAAATAAAGAATATAACTCCTTAAACTGTTTCCCAGCATTGTTATTTTCTTTATGAAAACTAAGTCATCCCTCCTCTACAGAGTGGTACCTTTTACATTAGGGGAGCTTACAGGCAGTAATACAATTCTATAACCAGTGGAAGACACACATATGTACAATAAAATCCCCAATTTAAGTAACCTTATTCCACATTTTTAAGGATTTAGTAAAGATTAGGAAGACTAAAGGCTCACAATAGAAGAAAGGAAACTGGGACAGCAAAATTGGGATGGGAAGAGGAAAGGAATATGACAAGAGGAAACAGACAACAGTAAGGAAAAAAATGTTGCAATCAAGAGACAGAGGACTGGCCTGCCTTTGAATATCACTCCAGCTACATCTTAGTTCTTGGTCTTCATCCACTGTCAACAGCCATTCTGGCTGCATTTCTGAACTGGGCTCTCATGGAGGTGATACATTCACCAGCCATCTTTAGGAAGGTAAATGATTAATTGCACTCTTTTCCCACTGCTGCAAGGACAATGAAAGGGAAAGTAAACTTGTGCACCTCATTTCATATCTAGTTGTAAATTTCCATACAACAATAAAAAGAAACATATACTTTAAGATTACTAGGCCTTTTTCTTTTATGTATGTGTATGTGTGATGTGTGTCTCTGTGCTCTCACCAAAACAGTTAATACAAAAGTAAAATAGATGGTAAAGACAATGTACTTTAAATTTTCTGATCACAAGTACTGTAACAACATAAAATGCTTACTTCATTTTTGGATTCCCCCTTTAACTAGAAATATTTAATCAGGTAAAATTCTAAATGAAGATAAAGCAATGTGATTTAAAATTATGATTACCAAACATGAAGATCACTACTACAGAAATTTACTTTATAATTAATGTGAGTATTTCTAAAACCCACAAAGAAATTCAACTTTGCGATTTCTTCCCTCACACACAACACTGGGTAGTTTTGATACCAAAGAGCTAAAGTAAAGGATCATGGCAATTTTATTTGTTTCACAATGTTTTAAAAAGAAAAAAAAAGGGGGAGGGGGAGAAGGTTGAGGGGACACTCTGTGTTAGTGCTGCTGCATTTAGTTAAATTCACTTATAAAACATCTCAAGAAATAAGTAACTTTACAAAGATAGCTCTAAAACGGAAGGTACAAAGTCAGGGTTTTTGGGAGGGTTGTGTAAAGAAATTGAGCATATAGATTAAAGAGAAATTATTACAGATATATTTCTTAACCCACCTGCTATCAGGTCATCAAGAGTGTCGGTAAGCGTCTGGGCTGGAGTTGCAACCATTAGTCCATCTGGTTCTTGAACTAACAGCCCCTGATCATGTCCAGTAATAGCAATCTGAGGCTGTCCTATAATCTGATGATTACCTGATACCTTCTGAAGTTCAAGAGAATGTGTCCCATTAGAACCTAAGTCACCGGAAAAGTTACACTGTGATGATAAAGGCTGGACTGGGACAAAATCAATTTGTTCTGCCGATGGTGGAGACTGCTGCTCGTCATCAACATCATTATCTTTAAATAAGATTGTGTCAACCTGAGATAACTCTGAAAATTGATCCTCTGGGAGACTACCATCTCCTTCCCCTTCTGGGAAGTCTCCTCTATGAGAGCACTGCTGGTGTAGCGATACTGCGTCTCTCTGACCTTTGGTTTCCAAGTATTCTTTGGTAAATTGCTGCTGTGTTTTCATCTGTAACTGCCTTTCCACTTTTTGCAGTTCTTTCAGTATTTTCTTCTTCTTCTGGACTTGTTCTTCTCTGTTCTTTTTGAGTTCTTCTATCTTATCTTTGTTCAGAGGTTCACCTTGAATTAACTCCAGTGACTTAAGCTGTGCTTTTTCAATAGCACTAATTCTCTGTCCCAGTTCATTCAGCTTGCCTTCAGTCTCCTCAACTATGCACTCCAAAGGCTGGTATGGGTGAAAAGGTGGCAGTACGTCCTGATCTGCTACCTGCAGGGAACTGGACTTCTGCTTGGATGTACCTAAGCACATGAAAAATGTTTGAAAAAGTGCCATGCTAAAAAAAGAAAAAAAAAGAAAAAAAGAAAAAAAGAAAAAAAAAAGAAAAAGAAAAATCAGCCCTCCCTCCCACACACATGGACCTCCCTCCCAAAACCCTTTTAATTAAAACCGTAGAATGAATGTTCAAAGATTCACACCAGTGATAGGTAAAACTATACTCATCTATTCAGACAGCATAAACTGGGATATAGCCAATTAAAAAAAAGTGAATTTGCAAATTAAAAAATCTAATCTCTAGGACAGGAACTTTTTGGAATTAAGAAAGACTGTGACAGAGAGAAAAGGAAATCAAAGAGGAAGAATCTGGTTTATCAGATTGGACTTTTTAAAGAACATCATTATCTAAATTAGTATCAAAATACTGTTAAGCTATCTTTTTTACAATAAAACTGTGCAAGTAAAGGTTACCACAAGAAACTATAACTTGTAGATCAAAGTAGGGAAAACTATTTTTCAAGTTTCCAAAGTATTTCTCTTATTATATAAAAAGATAAAATGATATCAGCTTTCAAGACACATCCCTCCAATTTTTTTCATTAAATACGTCTTTAAAATTTCTGCATCTGAACACTCTACTAAACTTATATTACAAAGCATAATTATTCTAAGTTTAAATAAACTCTTCTCATAAAAGTCTGTGAGATTAACAATAAATGTTTCTTAAGAGAAAATAGACTCCTATATAAAATTACTCACATTGATAATACATGTTTAAAATGAAGTAAATGCACACTAGATTAAAGCTTTGAATAACCCTTGTTACTTCCATCATGAAAAAATAATATTAACAATCCTAAAATCTGGCTATAAAATGCAAAAAAAAAAAAAAAAACCCATACAATAATTACTGTGATGTAAACTCACGGCTTAATCTTCTTTCAGGAGAACTGGGAGTAACTCAACAATAAAAAGGAACAAACTACTTATACATACTACAACATGAGTGAATCTTGAGAACATTCTACTATGTAAGAGACTTCAGACACGAAAGAGTGTATGTTGTTCAATTCCATTTATATCAACAGAGAGGAAAGTAACTGCTGCCTGGGATTACAGTGCTAACAGTATTAATCACAAATAATAAGCAAGAGGAATTTTTCTGAATGATGGAAATGTTCCAGATGCTGGTGAGATTTACAAAACTGCAAATTTACTAAAACTAACTGCCCTATTACAGTTAAAATCAGCAAACTGTATGGTATGGAAACTTTTAAAACTTTTTTTTCCATTGGCACAGGGCAAGTTAATTAAGGAAAGGGGAAAAAAGAAAGAAAGAGAGATGCTTGCATAGACATCTTGTCTTAAAAGAAAAGAGCTGCCTGTTATGTAAATTAAGCAAAGTTGTGTTAAAGAAACATGGTTGTTTCCTCTTTTTAGATTGCAATAAATGTATATGAGTAAGACACATTAGTTAAGAATTTAAAAACTAAGATCCTATGCATTGCAAATGATTCTCAAGTCCAAAGAGAAAACATCATAATAAATAATACAAAGAATAAAATGTTCTAAAATTGCAAGATGGTAACAAAATCAAAAGAGGGAAATAAGAGATTCAACTGCTTTTTTGCTAGAAATGAAGATTTCAAAGCTTCAGGTAGCTTAAACACTTGCAACATGTTATTACTGAAAAAGTCTAATAACTTTCCTCTCTGCCTTGAACAAGGTCTGAAGACTACAGTTACAAAAGCAATGTAATTATTTTGAGTCTTCAGTATTTTAAAAGCAAATTTCAGCAAAATGTAGTGTCTATATTCAACTGTATTTTTCTACTTGATCAAAGTGGTGGGAAAAGACATCCTGTCAGAAAATTGGTGAGACAATTTTATAACTATTTCCATAAGATCACATAGGGAGGGATACATCATTTATTTGTGGAAGAAAAGTAAGATAACTGCCACAAAAAGCAATGTATAAATCTGCTAACCCAGCAAGGAAACTGGGTCATAATGAACAGCAATAGAATCAATTCAGTCTTGAACACTCGTTAACTTTAAAACACCCTGGTACAATTGCTAAGTAATCTGTATTAAGATGTAAGAAAAACTAGGCAAGAAGATTACAACATCGATCAGATTTATAATTCTATACACTGAACATTCACAGACTAAAATCTTTCAGTACAATGATCCAAAACAAAACTTCATTTTTTGAGTACAATAACACATGTGAACGAACCTATATGTTAACAAATAAAAATGCAAGAAGCTCAGAGTACAAGATTACTAAGAGTAGGTTATTAAACTGAATATAGACTATAAGCCAAAAACATATAGCAGGAAAAATAGAGGGGGAGGAATAATGCACAAAAAATGGTTCTTCCCCAAATAATCAATGCTGACAATAAATACATAACAACGAAGTTAATAGGATTGCTTAGATACAGACCTGAGCACTAACATAAGCAATAGAATCAGAACAAACCACATAGTGAAAAACACATCACCTAATTATTCCTAGAAGCTGAAGCAAACCTTCAATTTTGGGAAAGTAGAGAATATGACAAGTGTCCTTTTAGCAATAAAATTTTCAGTAGGTAGTAATGAAAGATGCCAAAAAATAAGAGTTCTAGCTCTTTCAAGCATCTTCCTCTGTTAGATGCAAATAAGTAAATATCTATTGGTAGTACTGGGTGACATCACAGAATACTATTTAGGAATATAGATAATGTCATCTCTTTGGTTTGGTTTTTTATCATAATTCCTTCACCTTTCTCTTTTCTTCCATTAATGAAACAAGAAATAGTTTGTAATAGGAAATCACAAAACTTAGAACATTGCTTTTCTTTTTCATGGGCGTGAGAGAGAGAGAGGCAGACATACACTTGCCAAATACTTAAGTTTGTCTAAATAATTAGTACATTGTACAAGAGAAAAATAATAACCAAAGGAAAAAATAGATGATATACAGATGGATTAGATTTGGTTTCATATTTTCTTACTTAGCTTTATCTAATTAAATTTAAATATTCATGTGTAATTCTCTAGCTTGCTTATATTAGCACAAAGTACTTCACCCGAGTATTTTTTAAGCAGCATTGACATCTGGACTTAGATAGGGGAAAAAAAAAAAGGTTGATGAAATAGAATTGATGATAACAGTATACCAAATATCGCAGAACATACATTGTCTAATGGAATTTGTGTTTGGATAAATATATACATGTTTTGTCCTAGGTTTTAATATAAACTATTTATAAATCAATATGAAACAGAAAAGATGTGATCACAGTTAAAAATGAGCACCACTAGCTGAGAATTGGTGACTCTATCCTTTATGTTTAAATCTCTCTCAATATTTCCCAGTGTAATGCAGTATGCTAAGCATTTTTAACACCATAAGATTAACCGAAGTGTCCAAAACGGAGCATCTGTGTTACATACTAATGGGTTAATTCAACCTTTCGCCTTTAACTATAAAAGCAATGTGAAAAACAATGTCACCTCAGCAGTGATATATTGAAACATTATTAAATTTAGGTATGTGTAAGCCCAATTAAGCTGGATTACATATGGAATTCTACTAAACTTGAGAATATTAGTAGTGAAATTTCCAGAGGGATACTTAATTCATTTACCTATAATCTTTCTATATAATTTCAAATGATTTAACATAAAAATGAGAAGTTTTCATGTACGTTATTCTAATAAACTCTAGGTGATAAAGCAGTATGCTAATTTAATTCTTGCTTTACATTTATATTTGTTTTGACCTTTACCCTACCGTTCTAGAATACTACTTGATTGGTTCAAACATCCTCTTTAACCACATCACACTTGTTTAAAAATTTTAGTAATTTTCTTTGCCTTCAAAATCTTTTCTTAGCCTGGCATTCATTAATACAGTTGACAAAAACATGAAACATCTAGTACAAAGAAGGCATAGTGGGGTGTATGAAGATGAGCAACATAAACCCTGCCCTTGAGGAGCTTACAGTCTAAAAGGGGAGACAAAAATATACAAATCCAAGTTTAAGAATAAAGTCAGCAGTTGGCAAACACTGAAGTGGTGGAGGATGGGCAGGGAAGGGGGAATATATGAAACCTTTTGCATTTCTTATAGGCAAGTAAACTATCAATCCAGAGAGTCAATTTACAGTATTCTGACAGATAAACATTAGGCATTGCTATGACAGGCAATTCTGTTCTTAGGTTTGTCCCAAAGAAGTTTTCACACAGACACATAAGGAGATTTCACTAGGATTTTCATCACAACACTTTCTGCTGTGGTGGTGAATTACAGGTAATCTAGGTAGCCACCACTGAGAAAAAAGGCAGGTAAAAATTGGAGGATATACTGGGTGAAACACTGCTACAGGTGGGAGTAACCTAGAGGCAGACCATGGATAGATCTTAAAAACAGTATTTAGTGAAAAAACCAAAAAACTAAACAGGAACTATAATATAATACTATTTGTGCAAATTAAAAATACAAAGTAGTAACGATTCTCTAAGCACTTTTGAGAACAAGAGAGTCTGCATATCAAAACACATTAGAATGATTGTCTATAAGGCAAGTAGGGGAACCCAGAAGAAGGATACAAAGAAATAAAAGAGGAGCCATGATGACAAAGCATCAGAAATTGAGTATGATTAATTCAATCTTCTATACTTGAGGTCTAAAGGGAAGGGGATAGGATGGGGGAAACCAGAGCCAGAAGGAAGATCCAGTAGTCAGAGAAAAGAAACTATTCCACAGGTCTTGAGCTGCACATAAAAGATGTGTTTTGATAATCCCACATCGCTTTAATGCTTTGCTACTGATTAGCTTTAAGTTTTACAACCTGCAGAGCATAATCCTGAGTCCTCTTTTTTTAGAATCTCTGTAGCATCAATCACAACAAATAAGTTAGATGCAAAAGCACTACAATCAAATGTATTTAAAAAATTTATAATGGAAAGGCAAAGAGCTGATAGTACTTATGCATCCTTTTGGATCTGAAAATTCGTTACTGTGGTTAATAAAGCCAAATAATGCTAGAAAATTGAACATATCACTTTCTCCTAATGTCACATTTTTAAAGAGGTGATTCTGAAATATCTTATAAGATGCCACCTAGAATCTCCAACGCTTAAAAACCAACAATCATGAGATTAAGTACCTAAATCAGGAGAATATGGGTTAAGATGGATGGAACCTGCACAAAGAATAGCTGAGTAGGTTATATACAAAACACCTGGGTAAGATTTGAAGCATGAATATTTTCAAAGATACAGCTATGAATAATAGATTTATTTAAAACAAACAGAAGTAAAATGTTATAAAAAACATGAAAAGATGATAGCTAGAAAGGGCAAAGAAGCCATCTAAAGATTAAAAACACTTCTCCATTCCTAGGCAATATGCAGCAACTCAGTAATACTGACAAAGAAACAAAACCATTAAATAGCAATTTTATTATTCAAAGTAATATGTCTACAGACATGAATGAGAAATTTTAAGAGCTACTTTAAAGAGGAAAAAGGAATAATACATTTAAATAATTACAATGTTTTTCTATCCTCACATCAACTAATTCTTCCTAATGTACAGTGATAACAACATTCTATGATGCACACATTATTTATAATACTACATATTAACACAATGCATTGCCAGTTTTGATTCTGTATAAATATTCAGATGGCAGTGTCACTTAGCAGTTGACAATTGCTCAAGTGTTAATTATTTTCTCTCCTAATAAACTTAAAATGAAAGATCCCTTAAAAGGTTATTGCATTTTAATTCTACTTACTAAGTATAAGAAGATACTTCAAAAGCAAAATATGATTACTCATGTATAAGTTTAAAAAAAATTATCACTACCCAAGTACTTCTGTTTATGTATATTAAACCAAAACTTAAACCACTTTACTACTTCATTCACATAAAGCCCATCCTTCCTGGCTTATTTCTAGGTTATCTTGTGGCTGTGTTTTAATAACTTTAAAAAATTATTTCTTTGTACTAAATTTTCTAGTAAAAATTTTTATACTTTTTCTATAGGGTTTTAGCAAAGTAAAAGCAATCTGGGTATTCAGGTTTAAATAATTTACTAAAGGCTGTTAGGAAGTTATGATCAGTTTCCTTAACAAATACAAACTTAAATTTTCTCTTCATTTGTTAAGATTAAAAATAGAATTATTAACTTTCAAAAAAGTTTGAATAATTTAGTGTTCAATGGAAAACTGATAGATATTTTATCTCAGAAATTGATAATTTAGAAAGGAAATGGTCCTTGGGGGAAGCCCTCACACCTTTTAATTACTGGAATCGAGTAACAATAGTCTATTTGCTGCTGTTAACAGCTACTCCTACCCAATTTTTCATAAACCATAATAAAAACATAAGTACATACTTATACACCTCATTGTAACTTCAAAATCCTAGGATTTGATTATCATATTCTGAAAAAAAACAGTCTCATAAATTTGTTTATTTGTACTTTTTACTGTCTTACATATTACTTATTTTCTTTATTTCAAAGAACTCAGATATGACAAGTGAGGTACTTTATAGCTACAAATGGAAAGGCACATAAAACTATTCAGCACTCAAACTCAAGTTCTTTAAAGATAGTATATACTCCTCCTTTAGCATTCTCTTGGACATTATTTATGTACTTTTTGCTAATCATTTGTTCAGGTTCACATACTAATAGATAGCTAACTCATTTTATTCAGTATTACATGAAAGAAACCTAAAGGTAATTCTTCTCACTCACTGAATTGAATTAGTGCTACTAAGACTAATCTATACAACAGACACAAATTTTCATTCCTCACTTATACAACTGTTTAAAGAATAGTGAAATGGAAAATAGATGTCTGATAAATTTTCTCTACTTTAATAGACTTAAGAACTTGGTTTGCTTAAGTATTTTCATTTGTGCCATATGAAAAAGAGACCTAATAATGTGTTTACAGGAAAAAAGGAAGCCATTTTTCATAGTACTATGCCTTTTCTGTACCAGTAGCCTATGAAACTATCAGCATTTGTCAAAATTACTTACCTCAATTAATCATGGATACACAGGAACCATTACATTGAAAGTACTTTCATGAATTCATTAACTAGGTGACTAAATACCCATTTTTAAGGAAAGTAAGAATGACTGACCTTTCTGTACTCCCAAAACAGCAGGAGAGTTCTCCTGTGAAGTTCTGTCGGGTTCCTGGGGAGGTACAACCATGGCAAGTGTATGCATTGGTACACGTGGAACCTAAAAAGTCAACTCAGAAAAAAATAATCTCAGACCAAAAATAAAACAAAGACCTATAAATGAAAGATTCTGTTTTGAAATTTCTTTAATATTCTTTAATATCACCAAATCCACTTATTCATTTCTTAAAAATTAAAAAAAAAAGCCTTCACCAAAGAATAACTTTTGAGAATATTCATTTGTCAAACAAACTCAAGTGAACTGTATATAAATAGTCAATGATTTAAAGCTAAATGCAGTTAATACTCTTTTCTTGCTAAGGAGAAAGTCTTACTGATTCTCATTATAACTAAGAGTATAAGTTATATACTCATTGGTCAAATTAACCTACATGGCAAGAAGAAAAAAATACAAATTATTTTCTGAATTAAGGTATATTAGCATTTCACAGGATAATTCCATAGAAAAGAACTTAAGATTTCAATAACTTTGTATACTTAGTATATTCTCACCATACTTTTAAAGTAGGTTTAATAATTAATTATTTTTTTGGTATATACATTTTGTTTAGTAATAATCTCCTAGCTGATAAAAGAAGTCACCCATTGGTTAATTAATACTTTCTTGGAAGGGATATTAAGGGAAAGCCTTTCTCTAAATCTAAGATTATACTTAAAGTATTCATTAAAGAACAAAAAACTTAAAAGACTTAGCTGTGGGAAGGTGACAACTGAAATTTTACATTTAGTATTGTTTTTAAAAAACACTATTTTTAATGAATAAGACAATTTAAAAAATTCCATATTCTTTTGAAAAAAATAAATGTTAAAGAACACAGGACAGGCCCTCCCTGGTGGCACAACAGGTTAGGACGCAGCACTGCAAGCTGGACGCAACCTTTTCGTGCAAGTTCGATCCCTGTCCCGGAGGTGACCGCATGGTGTGGCAGACCTCTCCTGATCCACCCGCTGCTCCCCTCAGCAGTTCTGCCTGTTCTGCTCCCCACTCTGTCTCTGGTGAATCCTCCCACTTCCCCTGCACCTCTGGCTTGTACCCCAGTTCTATATCAATAAATAAAATCTTAAAAAAAACAAAACAAAACACAGGACCATGTTTATCCCAAAACAAAACAGAAAAGAGAAACCCATGCATTTGCTTAAAACAAATTTTAAACAAAAAACTCCCAATTTGAAGAAAATTTATATTTATAAATAGGGTCTATTTTACTTTACCTGAGATTGATCTTGACAAGGTGGGGTAAGCTGAGACACGTCTGGGGTTGGAACTGACAGAACATTGTTTGGATAATCCAAGAGATAAGAAACAACATTAGTATGGCCACCTTTTGCAGCTTCGATGAGCATTGTTGAGCCATCCTGAGAAAAATAACACAAGTAGTTATTTTTAAAGTCCTTTTTATGAATTTTACATACACATTTAGTTTTTAGAAACTTGTATAAAATCAAAACACATTTAAATAATAGTGAGTTTTGGTCCTAAGACAAACATTTTTAAATGAAGTATACATATTTATTTAATACCTATTTATGTAGCATACCTTGAGTCGATGAGTAGGGTCAGCCCCATGAGCCAAAAGCAACTCAACAACTGCCAAGTGACCTCCTGCGCATGCCAGCGATACTACTGTATGATCATTATTGGCTGTAGCCCTATTCACATTGGCACCTTCAAAGAAAAATAGAGTAATCTTAACAAAAGTTGGTATCACATCAATTCATGAACAGTATCATGTGCAGTATAACATAGATATAAAATAGCGCACAAATCAGTGTGTAGTTTGAAAATTTTTCACAAAGTGAATACACCTGTGTAACCAGCACCCAGATCAAGAAACAGAACATTATCCGCATACCAGAAGTCCCACCTGGTGACCCCTTTCAGTCACTGCCCACCCCTCCAAAGGTAACTACTATCCTGCCTTCCAAACTGGTTTTAGTTTTTGAACTTTATATGAATGAAATCATACAGTGTACTCTTTTGTGTCTGGCTTCTTTCGCTCAATATAATATTTGTGAGATTCATCCACACTGTTGCGCGTAGTTGTTGTTCGTTCATTCAATATCACTTTTAAAATGGGAAATCTAGAAGACTAAGATTAATAAATATATACAGTTAAATTGAGCATCACATAATACCAATGTGTAACTCTCAAAAATGTTTCAAAGACATTTATTTTTCTACTTCTAGGAATGAGCCATGATAACCAGGATTCAAAGAAGAGAAAGCAGATTTTTTAAACAATACTTTTAAGAATCAGAGGACCTGGATATGGACAAAAGATGTAAGATGATCCAAATGTTGTCTGAAAGACTATTTAGTAAATTATTCACTTGCTTTGTACAATGTGATCTGAAGGAAGTCATAATGCAAAATACTGTCTTGGCCCCTAATAAAATACTATCCTGCCTTCCAGACTGGTTTTAGTTTTTGAACTTTATATGAATGACTCCTGGAAGAAAGAACTGGTTTTTGTTCATCTACCTCTTATATTCCCAAAAGGTCTCAACCAGATATTTAAGACTAGAGCAATAGTGAGTCTTCTTTCTTCCTTAACTACAGACTTTTTATATGAATAAACCTCTGGGTAAAAGCACTATTATTAACTCAGCTTTCAGAAATATCCAGTTGAAACCTAATCCAAATTTGCAAAAAAGGATCTTTTGGGAGAAGAAAGGCACATCAATTAACATCATTCCATTAGCGACATAAGATTGTTTTTAAAGTTAATTATAAATTTAAATGGTGAGGTTGTAATTTAGGATTTAGATCCTAGAAGAGCAGTTAGAATAGAGTGGAAGATCTATATCAATCCTATTCCTAACAAGTCTTATTTATTTATTTTAAAACATATTTATTTATTCATACAGAACTGGGGTACAGGCCAGAGATGCGGAGGGTGAGAGGATTCACCAGAGACAAAGTGGGGTGCAGAACAGGCATATCAACAAAGTACACTGCTGAGGGAAACAGAGGGCGGGTCAGGAGAGGTCTGCCACGCCATGTGGATCTCCTCGGGGCTGGCTGCAGGCGGGAATGAGGAAGTGGCTTAAGCTTCTTAGTGCTGTGCTTTAACCCGCTGCGCCACCAGGGAGGGCCCGTCTAATTTATTTTTAAAGCTTTATTATTTTATTTTATTTATGCAACACAAGAAATGGGGTGTAGGCTAGAGGTGCAGCAGGTGAGAGGATTCACCAGGGACAAGAGTAGAGAGCAGAACTGGTGGATCAACTGAAATACACTGCTGAAGGTGAGCAGCAGTAAGACAGGAGAGGTCTGCTGCACCATGTGGATCAGCTCCTTGGCAGGGGATCTAAGTCATGTTGCAGTGACTGTGCTACCAGTGAGACCCTAACAAGTCTAATTATACTGCTTAGTAGTATAGTTATTTGATACTAGATAACATTCTGCATGGATGATGTAAATAGGTTTGACAGGCTGTTGTAACATTTTATAAAGATAGCAAAAATGTGGAATGAAGAAAATAATCTTATTCAATTAAACAAAACAAATATATATTAAATCTTATACTGTGTTCTAAGTGGCACAAAACATCAGAATACCTACCACTGGAACAAACAGACTATTTTAAGAAACATGACATCATTTGAATACTTTCCTTACATTTTACTAGCCTATCCTAACATTTTGTTTTGTTTTTAAATCAGAGGCCAGAATAGTTCACACAGAGTGAGGTTGACCCAAATAAAATTGCTGGTATTATCATTTTTGATGTATAAAATGACAATTTTATAAATTCAACTATGGGTTCAATAGCTTTTCACTTTTTCATAGTAAACAGTATTGACCTACCACCTCTTCATTAACTTGTCTAAATATATTCTAATAGAATTTCTAGAAGAATATGAAACAGGAATATAGTTGTATGCTCAATTAAATGAATCATACACAAAATGAGCATATTTTCCTGTACCCCAAATCCCCATGTCCAGAGAACAGCCTCATTAAGTGTTAAACAATGCTATTTAATAAATATAGACATTTTAAACTTGGCTTTTCCAACTTTTGAGAGCAACCACATACTACTTAGTTGGTGAAAACTTCAAAATAATTAAGAAAAATTCTAGTTAAGCACCTCATGGACTCTATACTTAGTAAATACAGCAACAGAAGAATAGAACACTATACTTACAATGTGGATAAAGTAGCTTTAACAGCAATTGCAACAGTTTAGGAACATTCAGAAATGTAGCCTCTTAGAAATGATAACTGGTATTTTTTTTTACCTTTGCTAATAAGAAACTGCACAGTACATAAATGACCAGCTCTTGCAGCTTTCATCAAAGGTGTTCTTCCACCTTCAGACTCATGTTCCTATCAAAAAAATAATAATAATAATAATCAGTGCCAATCATTAGCCATTTATTTTAAATATTTAATACTAATGACATAATAATGAAGATTTAATACTCATTGTAACCACTTATACTACCTACCTCAAACCCTATAAAATTCATGAATAATCTCAGTCCACAATAGATGGAACAAACTCAGTTTTTGCATATCAAACAGTAACCACTAAAAACAATACTTAGGGTTAGTTTGACTTCTGAAGAGAAATAATTGCAATTTTCTAATACTAATTTTAAAGATATTTTCCTCTTTATTCATCTGAACTATAAAAAAGGAAACTTAGTCTTGTTGGGTCATAAGGAGGATCTTGATCTTATATCAGAACCCAGTTAAAACTATCATAGGATAAAAACCAATTGCTGAAGGAAAAAAACACTAGTACTTCAGGGTAAACGGTTAAAGAAAAAGGAAAATATACCAGTGAGCAGGTATTTTGAGTAGAAATAAAATGAATAAAGACAAAAACAAACAGTTTTGTAATAGCATAAAGATTGTTTTTTCAAGGAAGTTTGCCAGCAAGAGAAATAAATGATAAAACAGCTTCCAATCATCCTCACACCAAATGCCAGTAAAAAGAGCCTGCTTGTGTAAGTACTACTGTCCACTGTGAGAATTACAAATTCTTATATATTCATCTAAGTATTAAAATGTAGCAGATTCATGGTTCTATGAAAAGTTCTTTCACCTAATCCCTCTTTCTCTTTGAATGCAAACATAAATTTCTGTGTTATGGCTTACTTTTGCTACCAAGAAAAACTTGATTAAGAACAGTGATTCACCTCTATTCTAATAGACTCAGAGACTCCTTCAGCTACCAGTGTGCTAAGTCAACACAAAACAATTTAGTCTATTTACAACATAACTATATCTAATCTAAGATAGGCAAATTAACAATGGCAAACAAGAGTAGGATTGTCAACCTAATGAAAACTTTTAAATGAACTGCAGTAACAAGAATTCCATTCTAAAAGACATTTTTTTACAGTGCAGAAACTCTAAACCTATAAAAATTAATCTTTGAGGTTTTAATTGTTACTCAGACTAGAAAATAATCACGACTAATTCTTAAGGTATGGAAAAATGAATAATTATAGATAGTGCCAATGATTTAGCTTTAGAATGAATTTTGAACTTACAATGAAAAGTTGTTAAACTAACATTCTGGCAATTTACATCAAACACATTTGGAATATACACCATGAAAACTTTATTCACAAAGACCTAAAAAGTTATTTATCCAGTTTTTCCATCTAATTTGTTTCTGATTTATTATAATCAATTACATACTGAAAATAAATTATTCTGTATAACAACTTGTTATTCCCTCTCCTAGCTCTGGACCCTTTTTGTTGAAGTAGTTATCTCTTCCCATTTACACTCCTCTAGTGATCCCTTTTTAAACTTCACATCTAAAGTCATTTCCTCAAGGAAGACCTTCCTCAACTTCCTGACTATTCTTCCTAGTATTTACTTAATATTTCTACGAACCACTCCATTTAAGTCCCAATCATATATTGGTTTGTGTAGCTATTTGGTTAACATGTCTCCCTACTTTAAAAGAACAACTGTGTCCATTTTTGCATACCATTATGTATCTATTATTTAAAATAATGAAATTCTTGAATTCTGTTTACCAAGGAAGAACCTAAGCATAACTGACCTCTTAAATCTTTCCTCTCAGAGTACTGAGGTTTGAAGTTTTAATTTTCTACTAGGTAAATAAAAGAAAGAAAAGTTAATTTAACAAGAAATTAAGACTAGTCGCTAAACTTAGAGTAAGATATTCATTATCTGCATTTGATAACATATCATTACTAGAACATGGTAGATAATACTAATGTCCCTTTCTCTGTCTTTTCCTTTTAAAAATTTCTTATTTCTTAAAACTGGTGGTGACACCATCAACATAACCAAACTCCCACGAGTAATGGCAAAGGCAAAATATTTTTGAAAGCTCTACTTTAGAATAAACTTTTAAAGTAGCTAATTTTGTATACTTAAAAATATAGCTGTTACAAGAAATCAAAATATCGAGTCCCAAGACCTTCACCCCCAGTCCAATTTCAAAATCCAAGATAGTAGTAAAATTTTTTAAATGAAAGGCATGGAAAGCTACCTAACTTATTTTCTTCCCTTGTAAATCTGTTCCAATGGTTTATTTTAGAAAACGGTTTATAAAACAACGCCACAACTTCATAAAGTATATATATGCACTACTTCATGTCATAAAACAATGCACATCTACAACACATTTATCTTGTCTCTTAGTATCTGACCCCTAACTCCTTTTAGAATAAGTATCAAATTTGATAAACTAATTTATTTATATAGGTTGGGTTTATTAATACAACCAACATTTGTTCAAGATCAACAAACTATTAGAACATAAATTATGAATTTTTCCCTTAATAAAAGTAGAAAATTATTTTCTAAGGTTTTTCTTAGTGTATAGTTTAAAACTTCTACTGTTTTAAACAGGGGATAATTAAATAAAATAGGATCTATTCCTTGAACGTTTGGTAAAATTCACCTATAAATCACCTGGGTCTCTTCATTGGATCAGTGATTTTTAATAACTTAATTTTTATGTGGATTCTGCATTATTGAAGTTTCCTATTGAGTCAGTTCTGATAATTTATGTACTTAAAGGGAAATTAAGTATTCACTTTAAGTGTTCAAATTGATTGGTTATATAATTGCCAGAGACAAATTTTAAAGATCTACTGTACTAAACAATTATGTCCTTTAAATTCCTAGAATTTACCTGTGCCTTTTTTCCTTTTTTAAGGCTGGCGTATCTTACTTATTTCAATACTTCTTTTAAAAACTAAGCTTTTTAATTTTGCCTTATATCCTTTTAAAGTCCTTATTTCTGGCTGTTCTCTCATGTTAACTTTTGATTTTATCTATATTGTTTCTTCATTGTGCTGTTCTTTTATGAGTCTTATTATTTTCACTGTAAATTTCATTTACTTTCACTTATGTCTATGTAAATTTTCCTTCTAAAGACTGCTTTAACTACATTCTTTCACCCAGGTTTGCTATGTAGTCTTTGTGATTTCTACCTTTTAATTTTTACTATGATTACTCCTGTACTCCATAATTATGTAAAAGCATCATCCTTCATTTTCTAGATATATGAATTTAAAAAAATATATCATTGGTTTGTACTTTTAAAGCAACAGAGATCAGAAAACAGTCCATGGTTAAGATGTAGTCTAACATGGACAATTTTAGACATGTTCCATGTATGGGGGAAAACTACAGCATATTTATTGGAAACAGTATGCTAAAAATGTTTCTAAAACCAAATTTGACTTTTTTATTCTTAATCACTGTTTTATCTTTTTGATGTATCAGAGAAAGGTGTGAAAAAAAAAAATCCAACCACTATAAATGTAGGTCTGTTTTTCTTGTAGTTTAGTAATTTTCCCTTCTATTGGAGGGCAGATTGTTATCAATTCGTTGCGTTAATTATTGTTGGAGGAACACATCTCTAAAAATGTTTTGGCTTAAAATTTCATTTTGTCTGATACTAATATTGCCTAAGGTATATCTGCTTCAGGTTTGTCTCCCAGAAACATTTGATGTTAAATGTAGTTGAAAAGTTTTTGTTCTTGAACAACTGAGTTCGTAGGTTTGTATTTATTCTGATTACTGATAAGTATTTCTAAAATTTCGAAAGTTATTCAGTACCTGATCCTCTTCTGAATAACACAAGGACTCAAGCTTGGCATTTTACCCTTCTATCACATTCTTCTGCATGCCTATTGCTGTCTAGGAGTTTAGTACTACTTTGGTGTTAAGCATAAAATTTCAGGCTTTAAAATACTTAAAGTTCATATCATTTTACCAATTTCTTTGCTTACCGTACCTTCTGGCATTCCACAACTTCCTCCAGGGTTCACTTTCCTCTTTATTGATGTACATATCTTATGTATTTGGTAAGGGTCTGATGTGGTAAGTTCTTTTATTCTTTGTAGATTTGAAAATATGCTTATTTTCCTTTTCTGTAATGGTAGCTTAATGTAGAATTCTATATATGATGTATTCTCTTGTTATTTTGAGGGTACTATATAACCCATTGTTTTCTGTGGGTATTACTGTTAATGAAAATCTACCTTTAAAAATTTAATTGTTGTTCCTTTGTATGTATTTTTTTGATACAGTAACTTTCAAGATATTATTCTTTATCCTTAAAATTCTGAAGTTTCATTTGTCCCACTTAGTGATTGTCTCTTCAGTCAAGGATTTGTTTCTGTCTGTAATTCTAAATAATTTTCCATTATCAAATCTTCAAACATTGCCCCTATTTTCTATTTCTATCCTAATCTCTCCTGCAGGTATTTCAAATGCTCTTCCTTTTTTTTCTCTCTTTGGGCTATACTATTATTTCCCTTTTTATCACCTGATTCACTTACTAGTTCTTTATTTAACTGTGTCCAATATACTGCTTGTCCTAGTTTATTTCTATAATTCCCCTCAAACTTTAAATTTATGTCCACCTGTTTTTAACTCATAATCAGTTTGTGTTTTGTTTCACATTGTTTATGGTTATGGGTCACAGTTTAAAAAGAGCAAGCATAAAAATTTCAGGATCAGTCTTTTAATTTCCTTGGGCCTGTATTCTCATATTTTGCTGCCTTTGTTTGCTTCTGTTATAACTATCACTCTTAATATAGATTTGTTCATGTGCTTTATAATTCTTTATTTGAAAAAGCTCATTTTGTAAAGAAGTTTCTTTTTCTTTCTTTCCATTTACAAACATCCCTTTATATCAGATGGTTTGAAAGATGTCTTCAGAGTTCATTTCAGAAGTAAATCTTTCATTGATAACTTCAGCTTCTGGTCCCATGAAGTTATTTCAGTGCACCTCACTAAATCAAAGAATGGGTATCCTCCAAGTTTTTAGCTACAGTTGTCTTTGCTTCTTTCTAAAAAGAAAAACTAGCTCTTCTTTCTAAAAAGAACAACTAGCTCTTTTCTAATTGCTACCCTGGGCAGGGGCTTAGGACCTTTATTCCTCTTGGCTTCCATGTAAATCATCAAGTTCCCAGTTCCTTGCTTTATTCAGGTAGACTAAGTCTATTGGCTGGCTCCATGTAAGATGTGTTTGGTTTCTATTCCTCTATGGGAAGTAGAAATGCCAGCCTCCACTACCCATTTATATTTTAGCTTTAACTTTTCCTTGGGCCTATGGGTTCAGTTATTGAGCCACACTCCATTTCTAGTTCACAGAGTTCTTTAATATTGTTTTGAGTATAGCTACTTATATTTAGTTTGTTTTCCCCCAAATTTTCTATGTCTATGTACTTGAAATGATAAGAGAGTGGAGAGGTTCAAAATATATTAGCACTTTACCTTCTTGACTAGAAGCCATTTATACTTACATTTAAACAACAATAAGATAGCTGAAAAGGTCTCATTCAATAAACAACCTAGATAGAACTTGGCCTTTTAAAAAACATAAAATGTATTAGGTGCTTTGTGTATTTCTGAGTTTCAGATAAAGGAAAATGGGTATGTTTTCTGTCTTTGAGTAGTAAAAAATTAAATATGTACAGACATTATTCCTTAATAAAAAGTTAACACTTTAAAAGTGGGAAATCATACTAAAAAGTTTATTAATCACTAACTTTTAAAAAATATTGGCAACTAAATAACTAGAGCGTAGAAGCTTTTTAAAAGTTAATCTGCAAAAAATACAATGCAAAGTTCTCGTTCAGATGAATTAACCACTATGAGAAAAGCAGTTCCCTCCCCCCCCCATTAGGCTGTAGATACAAAGTTAAATTTTAAACTGCTTATTTAAAATAAGCTTATTTCCTTTACAATCACAATTATGGACACCCAAAGCATACTATCTAAGGATAGTAACTACCTCACAGAGGTAGATCTTCAAGTTCCCCTGCCTAGGGGAAATGACCAGAATTACAGGAGAGGGGAGACTTTTAATCAATATATATGGTTGAGAATTCTGATTCTCTCTGGGTATGCTCTTCCAATCCACCACTGCATATTAATAATTACCTTGGTGACCTACTACTGATCAGATTCACATCCCTCAAGAGAAGTAAAATGAAAAAGATTTAAGAGACACTGTTCTAGGGCTTGTGGTTAGTTCAGTTTCTAAAAATCACAAGTGAAAACAGAAAAATCAAGCTTCTTCAGTTTGGATGGAGGAAAATGCCTGGTTAAAAAGACAAATTGAGGGCTCTCCCTGGTGGTGCAACGGGTCAAAGCACTGCATTATGAAGCTCTCCAAAGCCAGTGCACCATGAGTTCAATCCCAGGACAAGGAGCTGACCTCTCCTGACCTGCCCACTGCTCCCCTCAGCAGTGTATTTTAGTAGATCTGCCTGTTCTGTTCCCCACTTTTGTCTCTGGTGAATCCTCTCACCCACCACACCTCTGGCCTGTACCCCAGTTCTGTAAGCATAAACAAAGAAATCTTAAAAAAAAAACAAGTTGGAAAAAGAACAGAATTCAACAATGATGCAGAATAATCTATATGGACATTAGCGGTGTCTCAAAGTGTAGAATATGGAGGATATAAAGTCTTCTGGGATATCAGTTAAAATTGCAGACTCCCTATTTCAGAATTAGAACTTTTAAAATTGGGTCCTGAATCTAACTTTTAAAAAGTATTCCAAGTTTTGAGACTTGTTACTCAAGAAGCAGACTTATAACCACATTTTTGGTAACAAATGTGGGGAGAAAGACTATCTGAAATAATACTCAGCTTTACATTCTACACAGGAGTCTCAGATATAACACAAACTGAGTAAAAATTCACATATTTTGTAAAGTAAATGTACTTACTTTGTTCAAAACAATAAATATAACAACTTCTCACTCAACAAGTCAATGAATAGACTTGATACTGAAAAATTAATTAGGTGGCCTATGTTAATTGTGATCCAATTCAAATTTATTCCTAATTTAGATTAAGCATTATACATGAGTAAAACAAATTTCTTTGGATTCTAATAGATATTAAATTTGTTTGACTTAAAATAACAAGAACAAATCCCACACATTTTCCCAAAGAAAGTAATGCCTATTTGTGAACAGTATTCACCTCCTTAAAATCCAATTTTATAATAAGATAGAAGGAGACAGAAAAAAATTTAACCTTATAGAAATTAGGGCTTGAACAAAATAATATGTGTTTTACTAAACTACGTTTCTGTTTACCTGAGGATTATGTGAAAACAATCAAACACATCATTCTAAACCTGGGCATCAGATCTTGATGAACAACACTGAATGCCAGGCTTTTTCAGATGAGTTTTTCTCTCTGAACTAACTTTCCTACTAAGGGCGAATACAAAAATTGTATCAAAATAAGAAAATCCATTTTTTTTTTAAGAATACAATATAAAAAAATACTAAGGAAGCAAACTACTAGTAATGTAAATCTCTTTTTATTGTCACTTCATAAACTTTATCAACTGAAGAGGATTTCCTTTGTCACCCAGCAGGGCCTTGGAACTTCTTGGTTGGAATTCAGATATCCAGAGTTCTGTTTACCTACAACAGCTATTCTTTTTGTAGTAGCTTACAAGCATCAAAGGCCACCCTCACCTGATGCTTGGCCGGATCTATGCCCTCCAAAATAGTCTTCATGTCCTCCTGCTTGTCCTGTGAAAGGAAAAAGAAGAACTCACGGATCTTATTCCAAAAATGAAAATCACATTTGGCCATGAAGACCTTGTGACTGAGACTTTAGGTGCTGGGCTTAGTTAACTCAGGATCTTCAACTAAAAAGGTTCTCATCTGTAGAGACCATAACCTCACAAGTATGATTTTTTTTTAAAGTTATGATAATGTGGTTCTCTATCAATTATATTTTCAATATAAACTTTAACATATGCAGATAAAATTCTGCTGAATTACTCATACCTTTGTTTCCAATACAACTAAAGCCACAGAATCAAGGATGGTACGTTTTATCATCTAGCCAAGGAAAATAATTATAGCAAAAGACGTGGGAACATTAGAAGTTGGGAGATAAAAGGGAAATACTGTAAGATGATTAGCTCCCCTAGTAGACTCCCCACCTATCAACATAAATGTACTTAGTGTGCAAACTTTTCAACTGAACAGAAACCTTCGAAGAAGTGAAGAGACAAAATATCTGAATTTTCTCTAGATGTAGACTTTTGAAAAGTGAAAGTACTTTAAGGTGAGAGAAGGACACAGTTTAAGAAACAGTAGTAAGCTTTGCAGGCACTGAAGAGAGTCAACTATGTCTCCAAATCAAAGAAATGAAGCCTCCACAAGGCTTCATCTACCTCACTTCTATCTCCAAATTGGATAGTTTGCATACTCAGGGATACGTGTTCTTCTGAGAGGTTTGGTAGATGAGAACTACTAGATGATTTGAAGAAAGTGAAAGTTAAGATACAGTTTCTCTCTCTGCCTTACACCCATATGAGTCTGAACATATAGCTAGCCTAGTTCGAATATGAATGACAAATACAAAGCATTCAACACAAAATCTATTAAGAAGTTCTCATAAAAAGGAAATACTTTTTGTTTAATATCTCATTATAAATTCAAATAAAGAATATATGAAGTTTTAAAAATGCTGAACAAATAACGGCAAGATTTAAAAGTGAGGAGAATGGTCGGAACTAAGTTATAATGAAACCATGCAAATCTCACAGAAGCAGCAACAACATACTGAAAAAAAAAAGTGACCTGGAGGATAAGATTAAGAAAGAATGCAGAGGTAAAGGACAAAGACATTAAACACAAAGATAATACAAACAAGGGAGATCAAAGTATAAAGAGGTATTCAAGGGATATAACAAGAAAAACTGAAGCCTAAGAAGTAAAATCTAAAATCTTTAGTTAAAAAGTATGTGTTGTTTTCTAGGAAAAAACTCAGACTAGTAAATAGCAAGATATATTCAGATGAAATCTCAGGGCTTTAAGCATAATAAAAGGAAATTTATGATAGTCCAAGCAGAAAATAAAGTGACATATAACACAGAATATTCTAGCAGGATCTGGTGAAATTTACTACCAAAATAAACTAGAATAGGGGGCTTAGTTTGAGAACAAAATAAGTTATTCAATAATTTCATATTTGGTTACATTCTTTCAAAAATGTAACATACAACTGCCTCAAAAAATGCAATAGCAACTTTGAAATCTTTTCAGCAATGGGGACAGAAAATGCAAATAAAATATCCGTATCATCTAGCCAAAGCATGATATGAAAGCATAGTAAAGTAAATAATGGCTTTACCTTAGTAAACATACAGTTATACAATTGTGAAAAACAGGATAATAAAACAGTACGTAAATATTATAAAATCATGGCAATGTTAAAAAAAAAAGCCCTCATGACTCCTATGGTGGAGGATAAATCAATCTCTCTCTTCAATGGCGCCAATACATTGTCTGAATGTTTTTTTTTTAAAAATCAGTATGTTCTTCAAAGATATTAACATGTCCAAATTTGCATTTGTAAACAATACCTTGATATTCTTCCAGAAAGTAATCTTTTACTTGTGTTTTATATAGTTCATCAAAGCTCAGGGAACAATTAATGAATAGCTCTTAGGGCTTTATGGAACACAGGGAAAATTTCTGATAAACATGGGGACTGTATCAGAGATTAGAAAATTAAGCTATTCAAAACAGAAAGAAAAAGAAATTAATGCATATAAATAAGAATATGGTGAATCAGGAGATAAAACAGAAATAGAGACTAAATCAGCATTTGTGAACAATCTGGAGGCAATTATCAAAACTTCATATGTTGAGTTTCCAATAATTAATGATTTTCACTTCTATTAAATTTATCCTTATATAATAATGAAAGATGCAAAGATATGCAAGTATGCTTAATATTTAGTGCAGTACCATTTGTAATATTTAAAAACTGTAATAACTAATGTTTATTAATAAATGGTAATAAATCAATTAGAACATTGGGTACCTGTGAAAAAGAATGAGACAACTATAGGAACCAACACAGAAAAACATTAAGCTGAGGATAATAAGAAAAAATCTGTACATGTGGTAACACATCCACTCATATAAAGGAGGACATATAAAGGAGGACATAGTCCACATACATTGAACCTGTATGTGCTTGGGCATAGAGAAATGTTTATGAGGACACACAACATAATGCTTAAATTAAAAAAACAATGTATGGATGACTGGATTAAAAAGATGTGGTACATATATACAATGGAATATTATTCAGCAACCAAAAAAAAAAAAAAAGAAAGAAACACATGTATTTTGCAGCAACATGAATGGAACTGGAAAAGATCATACTTAGTGAAATAAGCCAGAAAGAAAAGGAAAAATACCAGATGGTTTCTCTCATAGCAGATATGATGGAACAAGCAAGAAAATGATAATGATGAACAGCTATATACCAGAGACGCTTTGTGGGGGTGGAGTGGGGAATGGGATCAAAAACAGTGGGGGGAGGGAAAGGCACTAGACTATGGTGATGGCACATGGGTGATTTGGTGATGGGAAACCCAAGGGGATTGCAACTGAGATGGACAAATGCACAAAATGATGTAAAAATAAACTATTATATACATATATATATAAAAAGATGTAAAAATCTTATGAAAAAGGACCTTATTCACATTTCTTTATCATCTAAGATTTAGTATAAATAACAAAACTGATGCTTAAATTTTTCTTTCTTTCAAGGGGTGTCCAAATCAAAACGATCTCAAAGGAAATAAACTCAAGGAATATGAATCACAACATTAATGTATCTATGTCCAAGTCACTTAGTTTCCAAGAGCTCAAATATTCTAGGAAAACGTCCCATAAAGTTTATTTAGTTGGAAAACACAGTCCAAGGAAAGCAGAGGTCAGAAAACTTTATGGTTAAAGATGAAAATTAGTGAGAGACCACTTTGACATAATCAAAGGGTTCAATTTCCTCACTGGTGAAAAGTGCTTTAATTTTTATTAAATTTTAATTTTATTAAAAATAATAACCCCCCGGGCCCTCCCTGGTGGCACAGTGGGTTAAAGCATAGCACTGAGAAGCTAAAGCCACTTGCGCATGAGTTCGATTCCCGCCTGCCCCGGAGGTGACCACATGGTGTGGCAGACCTCTCCTGACCCACC